GAAAAATAAGTATTTCAAAAACTACTGCAACTTATAGAAGTAACAGTACCACGGTTATTTTTTTTGTTGTTATTTGTACTACAGAGTGAGTCAGAAAAAGTGTCTCACTTTTTAAAAGTTGTATTGTTTGAGGTATGAATATTTAATCATGGGTTTCATGATATGTCTTGATAGATTTATCCTCCCAGTACATTTAGGTACCACTTTCATTTGAATCTCTGCATGCATGACTGAACATCAGACAATCTTTACAAGACTGCCAGATCTCACTTGCGCCAAGTTACTGGGTGAGGAATAAAACAGTGCATTGAACAAAGACACACACACACACACACACACACACACGCACACACACACACACACACTCACAAACGCATTATATGTCTACAAAATTTATATTTTTGCTTTGAGATTTCCCTTTGTAGGTGCCCTTTTTTCCAGAAAGTGCCCCTTTTTCTTGGTCCCCCCCCCACTTTGGAAGTCGCTCGCCCGCCCCTGCCGTCACACTCTACTCAGAAGGGTCAGAGCAGATAGATGTGACATTTGACACTCTAGAAAATTAGAGTGAAGGTTGGACTAAAGACAAATGTGGCTAAAAAGTGGATTGCACATAAGAAAGACAGTATACTATAAGCACAAAATGGAAACAAACACAATGGCCCGAATTCAAAAAGGAGGTTTGTCGACAAACCTATGTTTATGTGCGTCATATGACGCGTTTCAGATAAGGTTTGTCTGAACCTTGGTCTGAAACGCATCGAAACGCGTTATATGACGCACATAAACCTACGTTTGTCGACAAAACCTCCTTTGTGAATTCGGGCCATAATGTCAGCCCTAGTTGAAAGTAGAGGAATCCATTATAGATAGATATACTTTTTTTCAAAGAAGAGATTGATGGCGTCGGGTTCGATTCTTGAAAACTTGCAAAGATGGTGATAATTGAATAAGAAGTGGTAATTTATTAAACTGTGAACATGCAAAGTAACAAAACAAGCGTTTTTTAAACTCTTTTTCTGTATTCCCTTGTTATTGTTTCATTTAACATTATTGTAGCCGGCCTTTAAGTACTTTGTGAATTTGTGGTTCATTGTTCCTCATCTGTGGCTTATTTAGTTAAATGAACGACTCACATTTTAAGGAAGAATTTTTTATCATATTGTGACCTACATCCGCTTGAACATCCGCTTCTAGCAGCCTGAAATGACATTTTCTTTTGTTCATGATGGAATATATGTAGGCTTATCATCATCGTTACCAGTCGTTTTAATAAATTTTGCTTATTTGTAAGATTTACTTGAATGATTGAACAAATAGAAATGTGTCTTTACTATTACGAATTTATCAGAAAAATGCAAAGCAATGGTCTCTATTTTTAAGGGTGTTCTTGTATGATGGTGTATTAACAATCGATAATCATTATGAAAGAGGAGTAGATGAAGAAGGAGAGAACTATATGGTTGGATAGTCTGCAGAGACGGCTCGAGAAAAGAAGAGCTCCTGGCGAAGACTAAAAGCAGAGCGTTATGGAATACCATGATCGCCACTGTCGACAGATATGGCTCCTAAAGAGAGAGAGAGAGAGAGAGATATTTTTACTAGGAATACACACAACTGATATCACTACAACTTTAATGCATTTCTTAAAAATTATGTTAGCCCTGGTTTCATTATGAAAGTAATGTTCAAATAAAGGAACAGATTAGGGGGATGGCACACTAGCAAATGATATTTGAGCAGTTTGTGATAGTGACTATAATGAGGATGATGGTGATGATGGGGTCGATGGCGGTGATGATGATGGTGGTGGTGGCAGGCGCGCCGGAAGCAGCTTGGGATGGGGGGGGGGGGCAAACATTCCAGGGGGCTCACCTTCCAGGGGCAGTGACGTAATTAGAAGAAAAAAATTCGGAAGGGGGGGGGGGGGCAGACGAAAATCTGCATCTGCATCACCACCAGTCTTACACGTTACATGCAGGTCTCGCGGAACGTTTTTCAAAGTGGAGTATCATCGATCAGGTAGAGCGTAAATTGGCGTGGGGTCCAGGGCATGAGCCTCGGAAGGGGGTCAAGGGGCTGAGTCCCCGGAAGCTCTGGATTTTTAGGTAATTAATTACGATTAGATGAGCATCCAGGAGCCCTCTTTAAGGCCATTGACGTGTTCCAAGGGGGGGGGGGGAAGCCCCCAGAAACTCAGAGGTTTTAATATTTAACTACGGTCAGAAAAGCATCCAGGGGCCGTCTTAGGGCCCTTGGTGGGGTCCAGGGGGTAGAGCCCCCGGAAGCTCAGGGGTTTTAGGTATTTAATTACGGTCAGATGTGCATCCATGGGCCCGCCTTAGGGCCCTTGGTGGGGTCCAGGGGGCAGAGCCCCCGGTAGCTCAGGGATATTAGGGATTTAATTAAGGTCAGATGGGCATCCATGGGCCCGCCTTAGGGCCCTTGGTGGGGTTCAGGGGGCAGAGCCCAGGAAGCTCAGGGGTTTGAGGTATTTAATAACGGTCAGATGAGCATCCAGGGAGCCGTCTTAGGGCCCTTGGTGGGGCCCAGGGGGTAGAGCCCCCGGAAGCTCAGGGGTTTTAGGTATTTAATTACGGTCAGATGTGCATCCATGGGCCCGCCTTAGGGCCCTTGGTGGGGTCCAGGGGGCAGAGCCCCCGGTAGCTCAGGGATTTTAGGTATTTAATTAAGGTCAGATGGGCATCCATGGGCCCGCCTTAGGGCCCTTGGTGGGGTCCAGGGGGCAGAGCCCCCGGAAGCTCAGGGGTTTTAGGTATTTAATTACGGTCAGATGAGCGTCCAGGGGCCCGACTTAGAGCCCTTGGTGGGGTCCAGGGGGCAGAGCCCCCGGTAGCTCAGGGATTTTAGGTATTTAATTAAGGTCAGATGGGCATCCATGGGCCCGCCTTAGGGCCCTTGGTGGGGTCCAGGGGGCAGAGCCCCCGGAAGCTCAGGGGTTTTAGGTATTTAATTACGGTCAGATGAGCGTCCAGGGGCCCGACTTAGAGCCCTTGGTGGGGTCCAGGGGGCAGAGCCCCTGGAAGCTCGGGGTTTTAGGTATTTAATTACGGTCAGATGAGCATCCAGGGGCCCGCCTTAGAGCCCTTGGTGGGGTCCAGGGGGCAGAGCCCCCGGAAGCTCAGGGGTTTTATGTATTTAATTACGGCCAGATGAGCATCCAGGGGCCCGCCTTAGAGCCCTTGGTGGGGTCCAGGGGGCAGAGCCCCTGGAAGCTCGGGGTTTTTAGGTATTTAATTACGGTCAGATGATCATCCAGGGGCCCGCTTTAGGTCCCTTGGTGGGATCCGGGGGCGGAGCCACCGTAAGCCCGTAAGGGGTTTTAAGCATTTAATTACGGTCAGATGAGCATTTTTTATACCTTATTTGTGACAATGGCAGGTCACTTTTTTTTTTCTCCGTCCTTCTTTTTTTCTTCTCTTTAACATACTTTTTCAAAAAGGGGGGGGGGGGGGGGCTCGAGCCCAGCCACTTTGCAGACCATGACATAAAGGCTTCTAAATAAGCGTATTTTCGCCTGACTGTAATTTGGGAATTTCTTATTTTCCAACAAACGCATAAAAAGGTATGAGTTACAAAAAAATGAAGAAAAAGTGCCGGAAAATCATGTCACAACATCAACATTTGCAAATTACTTGTTTCGAATAAAAAATACACCCCCCCCCCCTCCCATCAGTACGCCAGCGTTCAGGAGCTAATGTCTTCTCAACCCTATAACAAAAAAACGGACACGCTTTCCCATTCTCGCACAATATGTCCACGATATACGCATATCGCTATCATAGAGACCTTCATTGATAAAAAGCGTATAGGTGGCATGCGCAATGTTTATGAAATTTAATTCCTGTGAACTTTCCTTTTTCTTTGAATGGAATTGTATATGTGATTTAATTCAGGTTTTTATTATTTTTACGTTCTTTTGGATTAAAAATACAAACCGTGCTTACTCCTTTACTGCTTTTTTTTTTTTTTTTTTTTGGAGGGGGGGGGGGCGTTTTGGGGGAGGGCAAAAATGCGTTTTGCCCCCCACTTTTTTGACTGGGGAGCAACTGCCCCCTGCCCCCCCCCCCCACTTCCGGCGCCTATGGGTGGTGGTGATGATGGTGGTGACCGTGATGATGATGATGGTGATGATAGTGAAGATTAGGTCGATGGCGGTGATGATGATGATGGTGGTGGTGATGGTGGTGATGATGATGGTGGTGATGATTAGGACGATGATGGTGATTATATTTCTGATTATTAAAGCCTACTCGGTGAGCATGATGCACCATGACCCGGGAGGTGTGTTTGCCCCCCCCCCCCATACACACACACACACACACCCCCTTTAAAAATGAAGCCCTAGCTACGTATTTATCTACTATTACCATTATATTCCCCGTTTCCTGATTTTAACAGGAACAACATTCTCTTTTTGAATAAACAACTTTCGATTGGTTAAAAAAATGAACTGATACACATTGTGAGAAACCACGGATCTAATTTTAGTGGCATGTTTTGGGATAGTCAATCAGTGGTATATGTCACAGTATAGAAAAGCGATCACGGACCTGCACGCACCTGGTCCTGGTGGTAATAACGATCATTAAACTGCTCTTGGTGATGGTGGTAGAGTATTGCTGTGGTAATAAAGCTTTGAAAAGATTAACATAATGGTAGTGGTAATAAATATAAAGATGATATTAGTGGAGGTGATAATAATGATGACGATGGCGATGATGGTGATTATTAATATTATTATTAAGCCTACAGGGGTGAGCATGATGCATCATGACCCAAAAAGTGTGTTTGTCCCCCACCCCCTTTAAAAATGTAGCCCTAGCTACGTATTCATCTACTGTTACCATTCAATTTCCCGTTTCCTGATTTTAACAGGAACAACATCCTATTTATGAAAAAACAACTTTCGATTGTTTCTCAAATGTACTGATAAAACACATTGAAAGAAACAACAGAACTAATAACTGCGGCATGTTTTAGAATAGTCAATCATCACCGTTGAACAGCGATCATGCACCTACATTTCAGCTTCCTTATAAGAATATAGGTCGATCTGCGACCCCCTCCTTTCTTTAAGAGATTAAACTTTGTTCACATTTCCCAAAATCAAAGGGAAGAGAAAATATGGAGTGAACGAAAACCTTGAATTGAACTGTCTTCATGGACTGGGATCTTTTAGCTATTCTACCATTGAATTTCTGGGGTATTCTCCACAAAAATCATAAATATTGGTTCATGAAAATTTGAAAGTTGACTTCATCGGACCGTGCTCAAAGACAACCAGTTACAACCAGTTACAACCAGTGACAACCAGTGACAACCAGTTACAACAAGTTACAACCAGTGATAACCAGTTCTTGCCGCGGATATCAGCAGATGCGACGAACGGTAGTGGTGAGTAGAAAAGTGTGAGAAAGGTACACCAGGGTATTTCATAACATTCCTTTCTCTGGAGGTCGATAGTTCTGAAAATAGAACAGGATTCATTATATCGAAGATTCCAAATTTCGAAGATATTTCCGGTTTCTGTATAATTTCGAAAATGAAATAGGGATATCCTTCATTTACGGAAGCTGGGATCTAATTAATTATCAAAATGTTGGCTGTATTAAACTTAGTATCTGAATTTCAATGAACTCTCGATATTGCTTAATGTGTTTACTTTAGAAGTAGAATACCTCGCAAACAAGTTTACTGGATTGCTTATGTTTTGGTTTTTATACAGACCTAGGTCTTGCACATAGGGAAGATTGATTTAAGAACTTCGTCTTTTGACACAATATCACAAATCAAGTGAGTTCTATTTCCTTACTTTTAACATTTTTAGCATAAAAAACTGTACTGTACAATTATTGAATGTGATTTTCAAACCTGGAGAGGGAATTGACTCTATAAAAAATATTTTGGGCTTATTCGATATGCCCCAAATACGAGCCATAATATGCAATTCTATTAGAAACAATAAGATAAAAAAGATATTTCTTACAGAAAAGGCAATATTTACGACGACGTCTTACATCTTAATGCAATCTTAATGCAATCATTAGTAGTAATGACAAATTTTGAAGAACAAAAAAATCTTTATCAAATCAAGTACCTTGCCACATATCTCATTTTCTACTCTGATTTCCCTCAATTTCTTTTCCTCATTTCCGCCTCCCTTCTCCCATTTTCTCTTCCCTCTCCTTTCCCTTCAGCTTTCGTTTACATCTATCTTTCATTTTACGTCCGTCTCTAAAATTGTGTGTGTGTGTGTGTGTGCGTGTGTGTGTGTGTGTGTGTGTGTGTAGGTGTGTGTGTATGCGTGCGTGTGAGCATGTTTATATATATGTATATATAAATAAAATATGTCATTATCATTTCAGCTCGTGGTATGTCATGCAGCCTCACAAAGTAACCCGAACATGAACCGGAACCAATGAAGCGTAGCCATCTTCGACAACCTTGCTTTGGCTTTAACAATATTTTGTCATCATCTAAATCTCAGTTTAGTATTAAATGTTCTGTATAAATAAATTGTGTTGAGAAATCGGGTATATAGTGTATCTTTATTATAGGTATATACTTTGAAACATTTTCTCCGGTAACTTATCTATATAAGATTCGGCGTAATGGCTTCGCTTGATCACCTGGTATCACACAATCTGCAGTGCCCTATTTGCTTCGAACTTCTGAATGATCCTAAGCAGTTATCTTGCACGCACTCATTCTGTCCGAAATGCCTTAGTGATTTGTTGTCATTTTCTTCACAAAGTGTGGCTGACGTTTTAACATGTCCAGTATGTCAAACCACGACGGCTGCCGTTGGTGGGAGTGTAGCAAATCTGAATACGAACGTTCCTCTCAAGTGTCTCGTTGAAGATTATAGAAATAGAAAGGGGCTCTGTGAAATGTGCGACAAAAAAGCCAGAGCCACGCTTTACTGCTGTGACTGTGGAAAGGATATGTGTAAAGCATGTCTCAAAATTCATAACAAATGGTCTCCCAATCTCAAGCATGAAGTTGTGAAAGTAGAGGATATCAGAGAGAACAGAGTGGTCTTAAAGAAGAAGGTCTACTGTCAAGAGCACAAATCAGATGGACAGGAACAAGTATGTACCGATGTGTGCACTACTTGCAAGAAGTTCATTTGCATTAGATGTCGGATGTTGTATCATGAAAAGAAAGGCCACTCTGTTCTTAATGCTGAAGAGTACAATAATTCTATCAGGAGAGAAATCGAGTACCTAGTAGACCAAGGTAAGACGAAAGCTACGACCATCAAAGACCACGTGACGTATATTGAGAGTCAGCTGAGTCGTGCCATTGATCACATTGACGTCACACAAGCTCAAATCAACAAGGCTTATGACGAACTGAGCAGAAGATTAAAAGAGAGGAAAGCAGCGCTAGATTGGCAGTTGTACGTTCAGAAAAAGGAACTTCGCCAGAAATTAGAGGAAATGAAAGATGCCAGTGAAAGGGTAGTTGTCAACATCGAGAGTGCCAGTGAGCTGGCAGGCTACAGTTTGAAGGCTCCACTTGGAAGGCACATCATTGCTATTCGTGACTCGCTGTCTGGTGAATTAAAGCATGTACTTGACAAGGATGATCCCGAGAAGAAACTTGCTAGTGACATAGCAAAGAGTGCAGAGGAAATCACATTTATACCCCAAAGTCAGTGCGATGAGCTGGAGATCGGGGAAATCCGGATCGTAAAATGTCAACTGAAATGTGACGTAGATCTTGCAAATGAAAGCAGTATGAACGCCATGGCTGCTACACCGGATGGGATGATGGCAGTGGGATACAGTACAGGAGGAATCGATATCTTCGCTGATGATAGTCAGCTGCAGAAGACAGTCCTCAAGGATGTTAAGGCCCTAGGGGTGGGATTCTTGTCTGATGGTCGATTTGTTGTACTAACCACAAGTAACAGCATCGTATTGTACACATCAGAATGGGAGATGCTGGATGCACGGTTTGAGACTCTTGGTCTTGATGAAGGCGGCATCGCTGACCTCACCATCGACGGTCATGATCAGATCTATGTCAGCTACAGGACAGCTAAAAAGATCCAGGAATTTGCACCAGCAGGTGGGAAGGCCATCAGAGAGATACAATGTGATGGGTATGAGCCTTAGCAGATCAGTAGCTTTGAAAATGATGGATTCTTAACGAAATCAAGCAAAGGTTCAACGTGTTCGATACGTGTCATCGATGCTCAAGGCGCTAAAAAGCACATAGTATCGAACGAGAGCAGTGATTACCTCCATGCTAGTGTTTCTCATGAGCAATCTGTCCTCATCTGTTCAGTCAAGATTGATGAGGGGTTGGTCATTATCGAAGAGTACAGTAACGAGTTGACTCTCGTCAAGATCCTCGTCTATCACAAGATTGAGAAAGCTGAGAGATTCTGGTACTACTTTCAGCAGTTCCGATCAGGAGAGATTGCTTTCTGTAGTACGCAAGACAGACTTTATATCTTCGAATAGTACGTTAATAAAATCAATGCCAGTTGTGCTCATGTTCATGTGATTCATGAGCTTTTCGTTCCGTAAGGCAGCTTCACTAAGTTGATCCTCTTTTATTCAGACCGTAATACTTGGATAAAGACATTTTTCTGTTGATTCCTGTTCGTACCTTTGGAAAGGGCCCCAATAAAGCTACTTACATCCATTGGAGATCACGACTGTGACCTTACTTAGGATCCATATCTAAAGTTCCTGGACAGATCTCATCGTTCTTCTTGGACACATACGACTTGACTAGTCATGTTCTGCCTACATGTATGTGAATTAATTAAAGGACTTAGTCGTTGGTGCATCATCGTCGGTCTCCGTCCGAAATAACTTGTAATGTGATGATCACATGCAATGGAGACGGGTATATAAATTTGATAACTACTCGTTCCTAAATGGTAAAATCGTTTTGTTTCGAGCCGTTCTTGAGGGTTCTGTTCTTTCAGCCAGCCTGCTCCAGAGTCGACAAAGGCTTCATAGGTTAGCAAATTCATCTGCTGCTTCCTCCCATAACCTACTGTTCCGACATAGAGCTATAGCTTTCAAATAGCACAGCCTTATATTTCAGCTGTGGTCGGTCATGCCCCTCCTCTCGAAGTAATTTCGCTCTAGAGGACGTCTTTTTGGTCGTATCTGTTCGATACGTAGCTGAGCCAAAGTGCAAAAAAAAAGATACACCCATCACACCAACGATACCGAGACACCGTCACCATCCCAACAATAGACCGAACCAAACATTATACTACCCTCAAGTGGCAAGAAATATCGGTCGGTGTGGAGTAGTTTTAGCTGTGTGACGGAAGTAAATAAAAGAACACCGGTTTAAGGGTCTCCCCCTTTGGAATACTGTCTCACCATAAAATCTGAAGATCTCCTACACTCATTCTATCGTACGCTAGCTCTTTTTCTTAGTGGATGAAGAAGAATGCTAACACAGCCGTCCTAATCTTCGTTGAGGGTATGATAGGTGCACGAACCTTTCCCAATTCTTTTGTTGACTTATCCACCTAAGTCATTACTGTTATACTCTGCAATATCTTCTGGCAGAAGTAATATTTTGAGCTCATATTTTGAATAAAGTGTACTTACATTGAACCCCTAACATCAAGAGCAAAATATGACATAATACAATTATATAGCACTTGAAGCTTTTGGTACCGTGAGCGGGAAAGATTGTGTCAAATGTAATTATGTGGATTTATATGGATAATGCTTTACTAGATATTATTATAATTGATATACAGTACTGCGTAACTTAATTTATCAGGGAAGTACTTGTGATTATTTCAATGTGTACACTATAGCGGTGAGAAGAAAAAAAATGTATCGTAAGAATGTGATGGAAGAAGATATATATAATCAGGTTTTTTTTTTAGTTCATCACATCTTCCTGATATAATGTAAGACTGTAAATATATCGGTTCCATCCTATGTTTAGTGCACTAACAATCTAACATGATACTTAGTAATTGTTGCTGAAAACGTAGATAATATGATGTCTGTCACAAACGAGACGTCCGTTGGCTAATGTAGAAATATACCAGCATCTAGCGCAGCTTTCGATGCGCTAGGTATATGAGTGATGACGTTTAAAAAGGGAGTGTAACATAAACAGTGCAGAAATTGTTATATATGACTTGATGGCGTATGGTGTTATTTTATTTTCACATGATTGAATAGCGCAAGTATTAAAGACACTTGTCTATTCGATTAAGATACATATGTATATCAATGGACAGATGAATGAACGTAGAATACAAATATAAATGAATCAAAAGTATTTTTCGCTTTCTTTATTGCACAAAAGCAATTTAAAACCTCTTTTTCACACGCCTCCCAATTTCTGCCAACGGGTATCAAATTTGCCGCAATTACGATTAGGACATTATCACATGGACCCGATCGGCCTATCGGTTCTTTAATAGCTGAATTGATAAGCTGTGCTTGAAGCAAAGTCATATGTGTACTTCACACAAGATGATGTCATCAAGTCGATAGCTAGTTTTTAGGCCGACAACTTCGGGTTCTCAAAACTTTAGATATTGAATTTTCAGAGAGCTGTTACTCCTCTGACAAACACCAAAATAGGATACAATTTATAGTGACCTTTGGCTTATAAGCTTTCCGTTGATGTATAATTCACCTATTTCATCTTTCTCTTCCGACAGGGTCTTTAGTTTAACCCACCTTGCATGAAAACGGGGTAACATTATGTTCGTTTGTTTTTTGACGTAGCGACTCTAAAGGTGATATCGTAGATTCGATTTAAGTTGAAAAAAATTTCTCCAATTATAAAGAGGATAAAAAGTGTAATGAAAATATAATTAATGTTCTTTGTTATGATTTTAGTGCTGAGAAATATTGTAATTAAATTGATACAGACGGCGATAAATAATGATAAACATACCTTTTGTTGGATTATACAAATAAAGTAATGACATTTGGAAATGATTTTACTGATGCTTTTAATAATAACTGAAAATAGCGATTGGAATGAGGAGGACGATGATGATGACGATGATGGTGGTAATGAAGGAGATTGCGGTGATGATGGTTGTGCTGATTATGATGATGGTGATGGCTATGATGATTGTACTGATAGTGATAATGATAATAATGGAGATGACAGTGGGGGTATTCAATACTGACAACAATGATGATGAAAATGATAACAATGATGCCGTGCTGGTGGTGATGTTAGTCATGGTGATGATGATGATAATCATAATTATGATGAAAATGATTATGACAATGACGGCGACAATGATAAATATTATAATTATGGAGATAATTATGATGATGATTATGATGATGATGCATAGGAATGACAATGACGATGATAGTGACGATGGTGGGGTGATCTTGCTTATGATAGTTGGCTCTGCATTTATCTTGATTATTTTTACTTACCTCGATACTTTCAAGCTTTCAATTATGCATTTTTTATTTTTGTGTATTTAAGTTGTCACTCTTTATGTAAATCAATTATATTATATACTATTATTGTTATTTGAATGTTTTTATATAGAAAATGATGATCATATGGCTCCAAATAGTCTCATTGGACAACGCCCCCTATCGTCAGAGTACAGCAGCCTAACCTGTTAGCCTAGGAAGTTTACCCCCCAAAATCGTTAAAAATTCTTCTTTTTTTTTGTTGTTTAAACGAAAAGCACATCCACCCGACGTGCGTTGACACTAGCTCTTTCATTGGAACCCTCATGTCCAATTGACTTTTGAAAGTTCGCTCACCGTAATTTGGTCAAAATAGGTCGCTAGCTCGCAATTGCCTATATAACACATGTGAAACAAGTCGAACTTCAGATGCAATTTGCCACGCGATTGTAAGTTTATAGCTCAAACACACGAAGGATAACAATCATGAATTATCATAGATCAGTTCTGATCGGTTCATTACGTACATTTCAGCCAACCCCCCCCCCCCCCCCAACGTATTTTTTTCCATTTAGTATAGACAAGCATTTTGCCGAGGTTAGCAAAAACATGAATATTCATGATCGCCATGGACTATTCGATCATTTACAGAGGGGGGCAATATCATTGTGCACCACATCAAACTCCCCTACTTTAAGTCAAGTATTTCGTTGTATTATGTAGTTTGGTAGGTTTATTTTAATAACAGTTTAATTATCAGATATCAATGATAGTTGAAATATATGGAAAATGTTCTTGTATTTTATATTTAGCAAAGCAATCTCACTTACAAAATCACTACTAAGTGTCATGTATCCGCCGATTGCCGTCTGCTATATACGTTCAAGGCGCATTTATCTGTAGACTGTGATGTAGATCGACAGTTTACTCGTCATTGTAGATTCATGATTAGCCATCTGTCATTATTAGTCTTTAATTGGTCACACACATACAATTACCACACACACGAACACACACACACGCACACAAACACACACATAAACACACGTGCACAGACACCCACACAAACACCCACTGAAAACATGCTTACATTTTTTGAGAATCTCGACCATTATATCATCAGCCATTTCATTGCTTCTATTCGCCTTCCTTATTTTATTCATTCTGCACGAAGCTATTCTAAATTGTCCCACTTTCTAAAATGATATGTGAGTGTACCTCGGTCCGCAGCTAATTTCTTCTCCCCCTTTCTATTTTCTAATAATCTTTTCTTAATCTCCAAATAAGTTGGTGGTTTTTGTCTATTTTTACTATCTATAGATATCATATATTTTATCAAAATTATGATATGATTTAATAACTGTTTCTTCCCTATGTTTAGCTGAACTATCCCTACATGGATACCTTTCCAATTTATATTTGTAATCTCTAATAAATCAAATAAATTCCCACACTCTTCCCGAATTGGTTTTACTTTCTCACAAAGACAAAATAAATGCTCGTAAGTTTCTTCATATTTACCACAAAAAGAACATAAATTACTATCAACCATTTTAAATGTATATAAATGTAACTTAGTATATATAATATTATAAAGCATTTTAAATTTAAATTTTCTAAGCTTACTATTCAATGTGCATTTTCTATGTCTTAACAATATTAATTGTATATCTTTTCCATTAATATTATAAGTCTGTTCTAAATTTCGTTCTGCATATGATTTTTCTACTCTCTTATTTAATCAAAAAGCATATATAATTTTTGAGGTTTTTTGATCATATATACGTTCTCAAACATAATAATATCCATATCTAATTCTCTATCTATATTTGAGTGAGTATTCATTTATGAAGGCGGGATGCCAAGAAAGATTGGATTGCCGTTTAAGTACTGTAAAACGTTTCCGATAGATGGCGCTATTCATTAGCATGGATGATCGTAGTCATCTAGATCAACGTCTCTATTTGCAAGAAATAACCAAATCATTATCGAATTGGGCACAATATGGTGTATACCGCTTTATTGGGCTAGCACATGACAACAGAAGAGACGCCATGCTGTAACCAACTGATACTAAGTGGGCCAAACTTGACGAAAACATTTCACCAAAAATGTAGTTTACATAAAATGTATGTCAATGTTAAAGTTCAATCCAACAATGGAAAATGATAGTGTTTGGTAATAAGAGCCAGAAGGAAAATTGTACAAGCGATTTTTTTAATGATAATTTTAACAATGATGAAAAAGATTCATAGATATACTATGATTACATTGTGAAATCATAGTAGATGTATGAATCTATTTCATCATTATTATAAGTAGTAGTATACTGAGTGATGAGAAAGAAGAAGGTGATCAAAACACTTTGAATTTCATTTTTTGCTGCATAACATAGAAACACTTTAACCCTAAAAAGGCCGGGCTATTTGAGGTCTTAGTACGGGCGGGGGGGGCATTATGGCCCCCATTAAGATCTCGGCCGCGAAGCGGCCGATCGCCGCTAAAATTTGCACGCATTTCAAGTGAAGTGTATAGAAAAATATGATAATTTTAATTTTTTGAAAAATTTACTAATTTGCATATTTATGGTAATTTATGCAAAAAAAGTCATAAAAATCACATTTGTACCCATAAATCATATATTATTCATATTTAAGCATTCTTTTTCACTACATATATTCATTAGACCATTCTGAATAATAATACAACAACAAAAAATTGGAAGAACCAGCTTATTCCTTATGTTATCCCTTGTTTTGATAATTTCTTATGTATTTCTTTGTTTTTTTCAACTTATGTATTTCATTATTTTTGTTGTTTTATTTCATTTCTTACTACAATTCAACTAATGTGACTCCCAAAACAACCACCTACACTTTAAACAAGAACCAATAACCCATGTTTGATCTGTTTTTAGGAAAAATGACTTTTCCATATGTTTTGTACACAAATCACGAAAATGAGCGATTTTCGGGCTGACATGCAAAGACAAAAGGTCACGTGACCTTGTAACCGTATGTCCGATTTTCAAAAAAAATTCTTTTAAAAGTTGCGCAAGACTCAAGAGAAAAAAGTCAGCGAGCGGCGGGGCGCCATCCATATGCGTTCCCGAGCAATCGGAAAAATCGTGGAGGAGGGGGGTGGCCATAATGCCCCCCCCCCCCCGGCCTTATTGGCCCGAATTCACAAAGGAGGTTTAGATTTAACCCAGGCTTAGCCTGGGTTAAATCTAAACCTCCTTTGTGAATTCGGGCCATTAGGGTTAACAAAATGTTAGTTGTATTTCAATGATACCCGGCCCACAAGAAGCCTGTCGCACACTATTTATCTGACTACGATCCCATTTGGGAAGAATTTGTAATAGCGTTTGATTTGAACATTCAAACCTATATAAAATCTTAATGATCGAGGATCTAAAAGTCATATGCTTAATCAAATTCTCAAGGGATTTCAAACTTCTTTGGAGAAGGAAATGCTCATTCGGCTCACTTGGAATCGTAAAGTTACGTCACGGTCAGACCATTTGTTGCGATTTTCTACAAGTTGAAGCCGATTCAGTTTTGATTCTGACTTAGAAAGCTTAAGTGCATTAAAGTATTCCGGTTGTTCTAATCATTAGCCAGAAACTAAATCTGTAAGATGATGTTTGTTTAGATTTCCGTGGCTACTGTAAAAGCCTTTCCTTGAAAATCGGATCTCATAGGGGATCTTTTAGTTTTAGTGTGCGCCGGGCATTACGAAACTATTTTTTAGTCTCAGAATAATATTTGTTTTCTTGGTGATGCATGTACGCAATCGTATATGTATATTTTTAAATGTTTTTACACCTTATTGAAATTAAATAAATAATAAAAAGATGCAAAGAAATAAAGAAAGAGGGGAGGGAGATCGAAGGAAAAGAAAAAACAAAAAGGAGAGGAATAGGCTAAGAGAAATAGAGAAACAGAGACACAAAAAGAAAGAGAAGGGAGAAAAAATATATGGAGAGAGAGAGAGGGAGAGAGAGAGAGGGAAGGGGGGGGGGGCGATGAAAAAGATTGATAGAAGGGTTGCCGTTAATGATCATATCGTATTTTTTAAGTTGTTAATAATCATGATTATTGCAGGTTTAAATCATTAGTAAATATATATGTATTTTTACACGTTGAGGTTTGACGTAATGAGGACAAAAAAAGTGTTCTGATGACGTTTTGTTTCATTTGATATCATGGTCATATGGACCAATTTTTAATTCTAACCATTGTAAAGATCGGTGTTAATTGTTTAAATTGACATCATCAATTGACAACAATGACATTTTTCATCCCCATCATCATCAAAATTATCATCATCGTCATCATCACTATCACCACCTCCAAAATTATCATCATCGCCATCATCATCATCTCCAGTCATCATCATCATCATCATAATCATCATCATCATCATCATTATCATCATCCATATTGCTCCGGTTGTCTCATTTTCGCTCGCTGGACCATTAACGTAGCTAGTTTGACGGCACTACCAAACTAAAATGTTCCACTATGTTGCAGGGTGTATTCCATTGGGTGAACCGGGTGTGCGGAAATGGTGTGTTGGGGAGGGGGAGTGAGAGTGTGTGTGTGTGTGTGTGTGTGTGGTGAGAGAGAGGGAGAGAGAGAGAGAGAACAGATAAGAGATAACATATGGAAATGAGAACTGAGGAAGAAAAGAGGAAGGAGTAGTTGTACTTTTTTAAAGGATAGTATACAAGGAACATGGAACACTAAAAAAGAAAAATAGTTTTAGATAGAGACAAAGGCAAAGATACAAACGAGAAATAGTACGACTTTGAAGAGAGAATAGCAAGGGAAAAGCAATCTAAGTTATAAACAACTATATTATGAAGAGGTAAGGACGAGATTTCGCAGTGTTTTCAGTCCATTTGATAAAACTATCTATTCATTCCATTTTGCACCAACTCCATTTTTTGGCGGAGACTGTCATTCAAAAATGCACTTCAGTCACTCTATTTGTATCGAACAACATATTCCGCACTTTTATCATTAAAATTCAAACCGTCTGGCGCGTGCACCATCGTGCGCCAAGATTCTTTCAACTTTGTCAGCAATATCCGAAAAGTGATCTCGGGCATTAAATTTCGCGAATGTGCAGCCAATTTCGTATCATGTTCATTCTAATTAACATGGATGTTGTTAATGTAGGCCCCTACATGTTTTTCCTCTGAAAATGAAATGACTTTCACTTATTCTGTTCCATAGACGAAACTGGGCCCACTTTTAACATGGTAGGCTAACTGAGTCCTTGTAAATATATAGTACGCATAATATAAAAAACAGCGTACCCATTTTTGATGGCTTCATATACAAAAATGTACAATATTTGTGGTCATGAAATCATGTTATGATGAAGAGTAATTCATATCCTATTCATAGAGGCAGTGAGAACCAGTACGAGCACCAGTTCGAAATGGAATGGGTTAGGACTACCCTCAGCAACGTTTGACCGTATCACCCGGTTAGATCCCTACCAGGATCCCTACGAAATTCACATCTTGCATCAACTTTTGCCTGGAGACATGGCCAGAAGATTGCACTTTGCCAGATGGTTGGTTGGTCAATGTGAGAGAACAGTGTGATTTCTCCAAAGGGTGGTTATTAAAAAAGCAGCGTTTTTGAAAAACGGGGGAGTTAAAACTCACAACGTCTAGAAACTCTAACAACAACTTGTGTCTGAAAAGGTTGTTCCATCCACAGATATTACAAAATAAAAATTGGAATTTGGGAAAAGCATGCATACTTTTGAATAATTTCCAAACGATTAACAATTTGTTGTTACAATAAAAGAAAATTCACAGAGAAGAGAAAGACAATTTTTGTTAGCAAGCATTTAATCACAACCACAATTGCAAATGGGAAGACTTTTTGACAAAAATTGAAAGACAATTCATGAAGTAAACAGCACCTATATATAATCACCAATATCAAATCATAAAGTTTTAAAATATATTTTATATAAGTTCGTATTTTAAAGTAATATTTCATTAACATTCAATTTGTACAACTATTGATAACTATTCACTTACAATGTAACATATAAAGAAACATCTTCTTATTCAATTGTTTGTGTATGAATTGTGAAAAACTTAGTGAAGACTGATTAAAATTAAAACGCATAACCATGAAAGCTACTCTAAAATGAATACAAGAATATGATATTTTGTAACTATCACACATCTTCACAGATATGGAGAAGGATGTATCACTTTTGTGATATTAACTACCTTTATGATATGACATATTTTATAGAAATAAATGTATTTCATGTTTGTGTGCTTATAATTTGTAAAATTAATATGATTTCAAATTCTCTCTTTTATTGAGCAATAAAGATAGTATGATGCATGTACCACATTCATATAATTAATAATATTTCAATATTTTAATAAACTAATACTTCAACAAGTTCTACTTCTAGTTAGTTCCTCCTTTCTCGTGCCATTACCATTATAAGTGTCTTGTTTCATTGTATATTTGTTTTTAATATACTTATTCATTGTATCATGTTTTGCGTGATAAATAAAATCATATGAAATTTGAATAAAATCATTTGAATATCATAAACATAATTATGTAAAAATATCACTTGCTTGAGTTTGGGAGCTGGAAAATCCATGCGCATTGAATACTAAGGAATTCAACATCATACATTCAGTTAGTCAAAATGAAATAATAATTACGTGCATATTCATGTATTTGGTTTATTGCTAACTCATATTTCATATTCTGAGTGTACAAAGCATATTTCATCATTTAAATATTTATTGAAATTCTTACACTGAAATATATATTTGTTTCATTTCTAAATCAGATCTTTAAAAACAATAGCATTATAACCTTAATATAATAATGACTGCATCAAATAATTCAATTATATTTTTTTCATATCTGATATGTGTCATTAAACTTTGAAGAGGAAGTATAAAAATCTTAATGAATGTATAACAGCCTCAGATAACACAATATATTGATATTACTACCAAAATTGCAAGTAAGAGCATTACAACCTCATTGCATTGCTTGCAGCCTCATTAATTATAATGTACATATTCCCTATCTGCTTTACATATTTACCTTCCAGATTGAAATCAATATCATAATCCAACACATTACATAGTACTACTTTTCAGCCTCTGTGGGGTCATAAGCTGCATTATATCTGTATTATGGCCCATAGTTTTTATCTCTGATCATTAGTATCATGTATCTCTCAGTTTGAGTAGAAGTATAATAATCTAAATACTACAAATTACATACTACATACTAGGTATTAAATATTCTCAGTCTTCTGTAGGGTCATAAGCTGCATTATACCTATACGTCCCATCGTTATATCCCTGATCGTTCATCCATCTCGTACTGGTCCCCGCATCACGCACGTTGTCACGTTGACCGACCATACTGATGCGGACATGACCTGGATCAGCAGCCGCATCTCGACCATAGTCTAAACCGTTGTGGTGATCACCGACCTCAGAGGAGGAGTAAGAGTTGCTGTCCGTTGCGAAGAGGACGTCTGATTGTCTGTAGCCCCGTTGGGTGCCGTCGTTGACTTCTTGTATCTTTGCCATCTGGGAACGTCTCCTGAAAATGGGAAATTGATAAACGGACATAGTTAAATAGATATAACAAGATCGGTATCAAACATAAAGCAGAGATAATGTCGCTTTACATCTTGATCATGTTTTTGCTTCACATACATAGATTGCACAGCGGAGGTCTCCATGGATGCAGGCCCAGGAAGACACAACTACTCAGATAGAACATTTGGGAAGCTTGTCTAGCATTTGCTAGAGATCCTCTGAACCAAGATCCTCGCTTTTGGTCATCGGTCCTGTGGTTTGATGAGACAAATGGATGTTGCCTAAGTCTGGAGGAAAGCAAGGAGAAGCATACAAGCCAAAGAACACGGTCCCAACCATGAAGCATGGTTGTGGCATTCTTTCCCTGCTAGTGGCACCAGGAACCTCATTAAGATAAGGGGCATCATGAACAGGGAGGATTATATAAAGATCCTGGATGACGACATGAAATCGTCTGCTGAGAAACTCCAGATTGAACGAACCAGCGAGACAATGACCACAATCATAACGCCAAGGTAGTGAAACAATGGTTCAAGGACAATGATGTCCCTGTACAGAAATGGCCAAGTCAAGGTCCTGACCAAAATTCCATAGAGAATCTGTGGAGGGAGCTGAAGACCAGGGTGATGGCTAGGAGACCATCCAACCTGACCCATTCTTTGCCAAAGAAGAGTGGGCCAACATCCCACAGGAGACATGCAGAAAGCTTGTGGACACTTATAGATACTGTCTTGAGGCAGCCGTCAAAAACATAGGCTACTCTAAGTATAAAGCTAAGAAAACCTAAGGTATGAATAATATTGAACATGGCATTTCAAGAAAAGAATCCATGAATACAATACTCATCGAATTAAGTATTCCTCAAAGTGTCATTCCTTGTTACATATAAGTCATACACAAACTTTACAAAACTCATTAATTTCATAAGAAAAATTAAAAAATAAGAAAAAATGGCACAGGTATGAATAATTTTGAGCACAAATGTAGATGGGCTATTCAAAACAGTGACTCTAATTCTAAATTGAGACACTTTATTGGCCTTTTCTTCATTAAGAATTGAAAGTTCTTATATAATAATACAGCCTACACTTAATACCATGATGTTCCGTTTTGCTTAAAAATGCTTTTTATACACCTTTATGTTTCAATGTACATAAATAAAATATGTTTTCTTTGTTTAATTTATAAAGTTTGGTACATTGTTCTATATCACTAGTAACCTGGGCTTTGTTTAATTTGTTTTCGCAAAATAAAAGCAATATTGAATATTAGAAAAAATGGATATGACTACAAGCTTGTCAATTACTAAATAAATTAAGATACTACATTGTTTAATTAAAACACCAAATAAATTTGATGTGTCCAAATATATTTGACACTACATGAACATCATGGATTTAAATATGCTATCATATTTAAGATCTTGTGTTTATATTTCTCACTGATGGACACTCACCTTTTAACCTTCCCGTAAATGAGGATGATAATGAAGATTAAGATGATAAGGAGAATTCCAAAGACGACCAGGAGACCAATCAAAATATCCCTCCATGGAATACCTGCAAAAAATAAAGTACAATAAAATGATAATATTGCTACGAAAAATCTTCATTTGATGCTTCCTAAAACATTCAAACATCTGAGAGCTAAAGCAATTACATACATGTATGTAGCTAAATGCCTTTTTTTAACCCCGTTCAACCTGAAGTCAATCAATGTCTTTAATTATTAACCCTTTGACTGCTTTCTTCTACTTGTACTGGTTGCTCAATTGCCATACATGCATTTTTGCACAAAACAATTTATTTATTTATTTATTCTATTTCTAGGCAACATGATAACATACAAAACATCACAAGGTTGACAAAATTATATAACATAAACATAATGATATTTAGCACCAGCCAATGCCTGAGGATCACCTAAAAGAATTTAAAAATTCTGTCTAGAGGCTCTCCACATTGGCTGGTGCATACATAAAACAAAATATAAAGATAAGGTCAACATAATTTATAAATGAATGTGTAACCCAAATTAACCCTCATATTAGTCACATGTGAGGAAGATCAGAAGCAAATACTTTTATATCATACAATAATTTAAAAAAAGAATTAAAAACAATCTTTAAAAAATCAACAACAACAAATATATATATTTTTTTAAATCACCCCCAATTGACTGGAGGATTGCTTCCGCAAAACAATAGCTTTCCAAGATTATCCATTTCTGCTTTTGATTAGCTCTATGATGTCCTTTTTATCACAGGTATAGATTATCGTTGCACTGGAAACATTTAAATAACCTTGTAGCCCGTGGTATATCTATACAATGATAAATTCAATGTGGCTCAGAAGGAATATTTGTGTGGCATATAAAGAGTTAATGAATTATTAATGACGCTCTCTGGTTAATGAGTCTAACAAACCACGAAGTCATTTGACATTGGTGTTCTGTGACACAAACAGGTGAGTAGTACGTTGTTGAACCATCTAAAAATTGATCAAATCTGAATTTTACAACTGGAGAAGATGATATGAATAATTGTAACTATCTAAAATATTGAAAATTAAATATAGTGTCTCTGTGAAAACATTACTTGCAGAACCCCAATGTTGTGGTGGTAGATTGAAAAACCTGAAGTAATATTCATACCAATTGCATTTCAGTAATATCAAAGATTCTGCTCTTGTTTGAGAATTCCTTGGCAAACTTTGAACCAATGCTGATATAAAAAGTCCCTACAACTACTCCTATTCTTCTACATATGATTTGACATCTACTACCGGTGTACCTCTCGACTATTTTGCTTGGATTTAAAGACAGTACTTACTTGATGGAGCTAGAGTTGTACGAGGTGGCTGAGTGGGTGGTTCGGTGGGTTGGCCTGTTGTTGGAACCACAGCTAGAAAAGGAAAACATATAACATGGTAATTAAACAGGTACTTGGAGATTACACTCCAAATGGGTAACAAATGGATTCTTCCAATAAGGACGTTTACAGGTAGATGTATGTTTGTCAACATAATTGAAACTTCCATTGAAAGTCACTGTAAGGACAGTTTAATTACAAACAATTTTTCTTCTGTAATGAAAATAGTGGTACATCATTATTAAAAGTATTCTTATATAGCGCCCTCTCTTTATATGAAGGTTATCTTGTCAATTCCATTTTTAACATTCCATCTTTTAGCCCTTGGATATAATATAATTGTATATAGCAACCAGTCTTGTTTGTTAATTGTAATATTATACACAAACCTTTTTGTTAGGATTTGGAAACCAATCGTGTATTTTTCTATAAACTGTATTTCAGGCTTTAGATAATGAGAGTCAGACTCGACTAGCACATGTGCTATTTTTTACTCTATTTTACCATTGATCACAAAGATAAAACTCCCTTACCGAATTCTTCACAGTTGAGTCCTTGAAGTCCATTCTGACATGTCACAACAAGCACCTCTGCACTGATGCCAACATTCTCTGCAATATCAGCACGCTTCTTACGACCGGCCGTCGTCGTCCTACGTGTCAAGACTCGTATCCTGTAGGTTTCATTTGGTTCAAGGTCGTCGATGGTGTAACTGGTTGTGTTCGCATCAAGTTCGGTTGAGTTGAACCACTCAGGGGCAATGGAGTTTGAATCGATTCTGACAAAGGTATACAAGAAAGTAGAAATCATACATAAGGCAGGGTTGGATTATGCCGGGTAATGTTGGAGTGCCTTGAGGACCTTGCAAGGTCGATACGTGCGCTATATAAGAATCCAATATTATTATTATTATTATCATATATATTGTTGAATTTTGCTGGTAATGGGTAAAAAATTGTGCGACTCAATCACATTCACTCCACTTTACATAAATCATTTAAATAAGAAGAATGTAAAAAAAAAAAAAAAAATTATTTTCATCTTGTTTTAATGGTACTGCTACCATATATCTTAGGCAATATTTATACATCAGTTACCTACGATCAAAATTAGAAATTTCTCTATGAATGATGAGAGAAAAATGATAGCTCCTGAAGGGAAAAAGAGGATGTAAAACAAAGAGTACACCTTACAAAAATATGGAGCTTGAAAGTAGATCTTTTAAGCGGTATAAGAGGAAAGTTTGTCTCTGGGTTATGAATCCGGTTTGACAGATGTCAAAACATGCGGTGTGTGGAATAAAATGATACGCTGTAAACTTTGTCTTGATTTATATTTCATAACAATGGTTGACACAAGCCTTGTTACAATCTGATCTTTATAAAAGTTGTGATAGCTAAACAAGGCCCTATCATCCAAGGAGTATGTTGCATTGAATCCCCTATCAACAAATTCACTTATCTACACACATCTCCACATCAGTTTTATGTGAAATTTAACTTTGTACATGAGATAAAATATGATTGCAACTTCGCAATACAAGTTTACTTGCATTAATCACAACCCTTGATAAAACTGGCCCAACAGTAATATCCAAGTTATAGTTACCTGTATTGAACCATATGCCAGTCTGCCTGAAGACTCACAGCCCATGATATAACCAATGAAGTACTGGTAGCTGTACTTAAAACCACATCATATGCTCCAACATTAGAATAGTCTGTAGGGTAAAAGTATCAGTAAAATCCATCAAATATTTTTTTTAATATTGCAAAAGTGTACTATATCCGGTACTCTCTAATAAAACCTGAAGTTATTAAGGTATTCAATCCGCGTGTAAACTAGTATTAAGGAAGTCAGGGGCTCGTTTCTCGAAACCATCATAATTAAGTCTAACTTCTTGACTAAATCAGCATTAGTAAGTTACTTGTCCGCAACGCATTTCACGAAGCCCTCTTTGCCAAGATCAAGAACAACACCCTGCCCAAGTAGTTATGCCGCTTGCGACAGTCATAACTTTTTAGGTGATGGGCAGCGCCATTAAATGTCATTTACTGGGTAGATTATGGTTGGCAGAAAGGGACAAGAAATCCTCCAGCTATGATCTTTCTTCACATTCACTTAAACAGGGAGTTATCTTTTTTTTATATTTGAAAATCTTATGATGATATGCCATGATTATTGCCATTATTTAGTACTGTTGCCAATTTAGATACTGGACATAATCAAAGTATCGTACACATTAAGCAAATGATCGTCTCTCACCTGTATCGCACATGCTTTCTCCAGCAAAACCCTGTTCACACGTCACAGCACTGATCACATCACTGAACTCCACAGACTGCTCCTCTGCGAATGCTCCTCTCAGGGTGTAAGCCACATTGTCGTCCAGCCCCGTCAGAATGTAAAAGCCTCTGGCACGCGTTACCACGGATCCGTTATTCCAGGGCCCACTGTCGGTCCTGTACTGCAGGACTACATCTGTGACAGAGGTCGGGGATGTCCATTCGGCAGTGATGGAGAGACTGTTGATGTGTGATAGTGTGATCCTGTATGGCGACACCTCAGCTGCATCAAAGATATCATCAACATCATTAGTCATTACTATCAAGTTATCTTGTAATTATACTGTATTTGCTTTTCACCTTCATATAATAAAGGATCTCATCTTAAACAAAAAAGAAAATAACTTATTTTCATAAATTTTGTCATCTTCTAATGAAATTACTCATCTTCTAGGTTGACTGTTCATTTCCTATAAGTTCTTCTTGGTAGCCCATTCTAAAACATAATCTAACACATCTTTCTTATTTTGTTTTCCCTATAAGTATCCTCTTAATCCAGTCTCTTGTATTTGATATTGCACCTATAATAGTGTTAATTGCCATCATTGTGCCCTCTTCTCTCTCTTTTTCTGTATCTCCAGTCTCTCTCTCTCTCTCTCTCTTGTTAATCTTCTGGTTAACATTCGAAGCTTCATTTTTCCCAACTCCCAACTTCTTAACAATTTCAAATAACTTTGTATGCCAACAAATTGGGAGCAACCCCCATCATAGTTTATGTCAAATAATGTTATTTCCTTACAATAAAAGATCGTAATTATTTAACTATTATAATTGTGTTCATAAGTTTATATCATTTATATTATATCTTATTTTGTCATCATTGTATACGATATGTATTTCTGTTAATTCATGTATAATTAAATCTTTAGATCAATCATGTTATTTATGGTATATTTGATTGTTGTAAAGCGCATAGAGAATTTATTATTATGCGCTATATAAAAATTACTTTATTATTATTATTATTATTATTATCTTCAAAATAAGTAAGAACCCCTTTACCTGTCTGGCAGTCGACACCTCTGAATCCCTCTTCGCATGTCTCTAGAGTATACACTTCTCCAAAGGCCTCTGGGCTGTCTTCATAGACCAACATAAGTCTGATGTCATACATGATGGCAGGGGTGAGCCCATTTATGGTGAATGAGACTTGTTCGGGAGATGAAGCAGAGACTTGTGTCCATGTCTGGGAGAGATTGGGCTTGTACTCCACAAACACCTGTCATGAAAAAGGATAGAAATGATAACTGATTATGGTACACAGTACCCTGTGCAGACATATATGTTGATTGTACTTTAAAGGTACTTTGTCCCATTTGCAGGTCAAAAAATGAAAAGGGTAAATTCCAACAGCATTTGAAGACTTATTTATAACTTCCCTCACAACGAAAGGGTTTGAAAATGGCTTTTCGTGGCAAAATAATGACCATTAGTTGTGAAATCAACATAAGTGATTGCAATCACCTAAGTTATAGTCTGATTTTCAGACCCTTATACTAAACGGTTGTACATAATATCTTGAAGAGTACATTTTTATATGGTCACTCTTAAAGTGGTTAAAATGGTCAATAATATAACACTTTCAAGGGGATGAATTTGAAGTGGGAACTAAATAGTGGGTAAAAAGATTGTAAATGATAGCATAAGACATCATTCCTAAAAATTGAAATTAGCAAAAACTGAATGGATACTTCTTTAAACGGATATACCTCTTTAGTTGCTTTTCCTGATTTAACCTGTAAGAAACCCACAAATGTTAACCCTATTTAGCCCGGGCTATTTTGAAACTGCATAGCCCGGGGGGGCTTCTAAGGCGCCCCCCCCCCCCCCCCCCCCTATGATCTCGGCCGTGAAACGCCCAATCCGTGAAAATTTGCATACATGTCAAGTGAAGTGTATAGAATACTATGGTAATTTCAATTTTTTGAAAAATTTGCTCATTTGCATATTTATGGTAATTTATGCAAATAAGGTCATAAAATTCACATTTTTGCCCATAAATCAGACATTATTCATATATAAGCATTCTTTCTCACTACATATATTTGTTAGACCATTTGGAATAATAATACAACACTTTCTTTGTTTTCTTAACTTATGTATTTTATTGTTTTTTGTTGTTTTATTTCATTTCCAACTATAATTCAACTATTTTGACCCCAAAATAAACACCTAAACTATAAACAAGACCAAATTAATAACCTATGATTTTTCTCATTATTTGAAAAATGAGATTTCCATATGTTTTGTACACAAATCACAAAAATGAGCGATTTTCGGGATGACATGCAAAGACAAAACGACACGTGACTTTGTAACGGTAGGTCCGATTTTCGAAAAATTTCTTTCAAAAGATGCGCAAGACTTGAAAGAAAAAAGTCACAAAATTTCAGTGCAAGATTTTCTTGCGTTAAAAAATTATCGCGAAAAATGTCCCCCCCCCCCCCCCCCGGGCTAAATAGGGTTAAGGCCTTACATAATCTGTCTAAAAAAACAGAGATAGAGACGTTTTTTAGAACCTGAAATGAGATGCTAGCCTCAAAAAAAAAACCTAAAAAAAATCTTCTTCAAGAAAGAAGAGTAATAATTCACATAACTGTCGCCCTGAGAGTGAAGAAATTGTAAATACAAACCTGAACCACATTGGGTTGCTGCAGAGTCCAACTGATTTTCAGAGAGGTACTGGTCTTTCCTACTGTCTCAATGATGTAAAGGGGTGCAGCGACAGTGGTGGGTGCATTCGTAAAGGGTGTGGTTGGCCCCGCGGTGGAAGGTTCAGTGGAAGGTTCAGTAGGTGGTGAGGTCTGCATAGTGGTAGGGCTTGGGGTGGTGGTAACAACTGGAATTTCTTGTATGAAAGAGAGGAAGAAATAGCTTATGACGGTGTTTACTTATGGCTAAACTTCTAAACTACGTACGGTTAACACATAAGCAATGACATTTATGAATTATTAATAAAGATCGATAGCTCAGAGCAAGAAGTTTTGACCTTTTAAATGACCTACAAAGACAAATTATATGTTGAATTAGAGAGAAACAAATTTAATGTTAATCAATTTACTACTGCTAAGATCACACCGACGCCGAATTGATGGCGCATTAAATCGGCGAGCAAAGGGGCGGCAAAGCGTAACAAAGCTTAATTAAAGCGTAAAGACCGTAATAGAGCGTGAGAAAACTTTGAGCAATTCGGGACATTTGGCAAGAGCGCCAAAAAAATTTAAACTGTTTAAAAATTTGAGGCGATCTGTCACGAATTGCGTAAAGCGGGGAGAGCCTATTAAAGCTTATCAAAGCGTCACAAAGCTTATCAAAGTTTTGCTCAAAGCGTAGGAAAGCTTAACAGAGTTTAAATTTTTGGCGTTCTTGCCGAATGTCCCGAATTGCTCAAAGCTTTCTCACGCTCTATTACGGTCTTTACGCTTTAATTAAGCTTTGTTAGGCTTTGCCGCCGCTTTGCTCGCCAATTTAATTCGCCATCAATTCGGCGTCGGTGTGAACTTAGCATAACATATCTCAGGAGATCGTGAGATTTTTTGAAAAATGACGCCGAATTGATCGCCGATTTAAAGCGCGACATTCGGCGTCGGTGTGAACTAGGCATACTGAATTCTCTCATTCCATATACCAGGTAGGCTTTTTTAAAGGAGCCATCTAGTTCCCACAGGGAATGAGTCATGCTTAATTAAACTAAATTCTTATATTAAATTTTGTAATGTTCTTGCATACTGTACCTTCTAAATGAAGAATATCTTCTGGAAGTAAATGTGTATGTATAATGGTTAAGTGAAAATAAGCAATTGATGAATTCATCCTGCAAACAATGTATCACATTAATCCTGAGCTCCTATCAAACCTAAACAAACTTCATGCACTCACCAATCTCACAGTTGAGACCTCTAAATCCTGCAACGCAAGTCTTCATCTGGACCACATCACTAATGGTGGAGGATACGTCCATCCTGGTCACCAGAACCCTAACACTGTACGCCGTGTCTTCCGCCAAGGGGGTCAGGAGCGCCCCTGTCTCCAAGGGCTGGAGCTGATTGGTAGCCAGCCAGGCGTCGGAGGTGTCAGAGGTACGTTTGTACTGGACTTGTGACCAGACGATGGAAACGGTCGTCTGCCAGGTGACGTTGAGCGATGTGACCATTGCTTCCACAAGACGGACATCAAATGCTCCAAGTTCGGCATAGTCTGGAGAAATGCATAGAGAGGTGTGCAGGAGAAATTGAGATTAATAAACAAGTATTTGAATAAGTACCGTATAATGATTTTGATCGCAATTACATAGGGAACACACTGTTACTGAGAATAACACATGTACATGTACTTTGATTGAAAAGGATGTTTTTCAATCCCATACAGTATTGCAATATTTGTGTCACTCTAGTGACTTGTTTGTTTAGATGAACACTTTCATGAAATAAATAGGTTTTTAAAAGATTCTGATACATGTATAATGACATATGAGAATTAAAAACAAAGAAAGAAGTCAAGTTTCAATAAACACTTTGAAAAAAATTGATTGCCATTACAGAAAAGGCATTGGATATGCATGTACTGGTACTTCGCATATTATACAAAAACAAAAAAGATTGGCATTAGCTGAATTCCAAAACACTCTAATATAACCGTTGTGTTGGCTCAGTCAGTAGAGCGTCCGCCTCACAACCAGGAGGTCGTGGGTTCGAACCCCGGCCGCGTCCTCCAAAATACCAAAAGACGTTAAAAGACGGGAGTTGCTGCTACCTTGTTTGGCGTTCAACAATAAGGGGATAGAGCAACGTCGATCTGGCGCTGCTCAGTGGCTGCCGGGCTCAGGATCAATTGGGCAAAAAGAATTTCCATTTTCGGTTTAATAAAATTTGGAGTGGACTTTAAAAGATTATTATTATTATTATTATTATTATTATTATTATTAGCACACTTACTGATTTCACAATTAGCTCCCTGGAATCCCTCAGGACAGAGTGTAACCTGATTAGTCTCTCCAAACTGCTCCTTAGTATCGTTGATCAGCTTGAGACGGTAGTCATACGTCACACCGGGTTCCAGTCCCTCTATGTTGTACAGCCCACGATCAGCGGGCACGGGTGGCTCCTCGGTCCAGCCATCAGCAGTGATGAGAACACGAGCCTGCGGGGAGGTCGCGACACGGTGCTGGACGGCTACTTGGGAAACGGTCACATACACTGTCCAGGTGACGGTCACAAAATCACTGCTGACCGTGTCTACACTAGCATCAATGGGGACATCTACCATCACAGAAAAGAAAGAAGATACTCCATCTTACTCAATCTCCTATATCAATTTTAGGTTAATTCACACATTAAAGCCTGTCTGCACTAGTTTGGTCATGGGAATTAGACCTCTCTGCAGGGTCACTGGCAGATGGTTATCTCATCAAATCAGCTCTCAATTAACATAAGAAAAAGGGCATCATGGGGGATCAACGGGTACTGCTAAGGCATTGTAGGCTGTATAGAGGGCACAAGTAGCTATAAGTAGTGCAGTGGGACTGTAAAAGGATGAACCTGTCAAATTATCCTTTTTCAATTGCACAGAGCACGAATTCCAGATTTTGTGTCAGATAAGGGATACTGTTACAAGTCTGTAATCACACTAAAATTATTTGGACCATTGCACTGTATGTAGCATACACATAGTGATCATGGACTGAACAGCAATATAGAATACCTTACTAATGAGTTGATAATGAATAAACATACCTAAATGAGAGAGAGTAAAGACATCTAGTTTTCTAATGATTTTGCTCATGAGGTTCTCATCCATTTTAATCTACTTATTGTTTAAGATGTTCCTGATTGGAAAATCTATAAAGATCCCATTTTCTATTTCCTTTGAAACAAAGTTTCTTATTGAAACATGTAAACTGGTATTAGAGACGTCATGGCTATGAAGACCATTTATTGGTATCTCCCAGAGGCGATCTTTCCACAACATTACAGAAACTAATACATCAGTGACCACCTGTCTACAAAGACCACCTGTCCTTAAAGACCATATTTTTTGTTTCCCTTGAAAATGGTTTCTCATTGAAACATGTACTATAGGCACCTGTACATTAAGACCACCTGTCTATACAGACCACTTTTCTTGTCTCCATTGGGTGGTCTTTATAGACAGGTTTCACTGTACATGTATGTCTACATTACACCATCAAGGCAGGAGCATCATTACCTCCTTCACAGTTGAGACCAACTGTCCCACCAGCACAGGTCAGCAGGGTCAGAACAGCACTCTCCGCCTGTTCCCCACTGGACAGTCCAATGGCCACCTGCACTTGGTAACTGGATAGTTCACTCAGGCCCTGGATGATATCTGATGTCGCCGTGCCTTCAAGGAGAGTGCCGTTGCTCCAAGGGTCCGTGGAGGACTCACGGAACGTGAGGTGCACCCATTGGATCTCAGCGATTTCCGGTAGGGTCCACTTAAGCTCTAGGGAGGCACTGGTGGCATATACCAGATTGAAGTCATATGCACTTGTGCTGCTGTAGTCTATAGATCAAGGTATAAAGTATAAATATGAAGTATGTGAGCAGTTTAGGTACACTCCCCAGTGTAGAACATGGGACTGTGAGTTGTAAAATGCATTTCACTTTTCTCTTGCACATTTATTTATAAAACTCTGTCAGGGTCCTAACATAATTTGACATTAGTATAGAAGACATTACTTCAGGGATCAGATGTAACTTACTTTGACCATGAAACATCCACCACTATGCCGACTAATTAGCATCCAATGAGGTATCATTATAGAATACCAACATGTCCATTGTGTGGTGAGGGTCGAAGGGACACTAACTCTGTGTTAAAGAATATATGAGACAATACCCTTTTGGCTCTAACCAGAAGTCACACTCAACTCACCTGTTGCACACTCCGGCCCCTGCACTCCAGGTGTGCATGTATCAAACACCTCAACGGATGACCTCGTGTAGAAGGAGTCCCCTACAAACACCAATCTAACTTGGTAAGACTGTGATGAAGTCAAATCATCAAGAATGATAATCTGTCTGGTCGCATCGACGGTGGAGCTGTTAGACCAGACCTCTTCACCTTGGAATCTGTACTGGACAATGACCGATGTTACCTCTTGGTCAGTTGTCCAGGTGAGGGTCAGTGTGGACCATGTGGCCTGGTCAAGGGTGATGGTGTACCCCACTGCAGAAGGATAGGAAGAAGAATATGGTACACGTAAAATGCTCCACTATGGTAAAATTCAATTCTTTGGATTTTTTTATTTATTATCACTTATACTTTAGTAGTGCAGCGGCTTAGCAAGAAAATTGTGCACTTTTTGATAAAAGCATGAAACTTCTAGCATAGTTTGCTTTCACCATAAGATTTATTTTCAGATGTGGAGGGAAGTCAGATTTGACCTCTGATGACCCTGAGAGGTCAAATCCAAAATGGCCGCCAGGCCGCATGGTCTAATGTACAAACATGCTTAACTTTTGAACCAAATAGTCCAGAGAAACGTTTAAGGTGTCATTTCCAACTAAATTGGGGATGCCAATTCATTTGGTAATACTTTTGAGATCGCCTGAACTCAGGGTTTTGCATTAAGGTCAAGGTCAAGGTCAAAATTGACTAAAAATAGCAAGTTTTGAATGGTTACAAATGGTTAAATCTCATTTATTTGTCATTTGTTCTCAAATTTCTTTAGGAATTGTTCCCCTGCATAGTCCTCCACCTTAATCCCTTTCAGGTAGTCTATTTCAGTTTGATTTGACCTCTGATGACCCTGAGAGGTCAAATCCAAAATGGCCGCCAGTCCGCAAGGGCTAATGTATAAACGCAGTAACTTTTTAACCAAATAATCCAGAAAAACATTTAAGGTGTCATTTCCAACTAAATTGGGGATACCAGTTCATCTGGTAGTACATTTGAGATCGCCAGAACTCAGGGTGTGGCATTTATGTCAAGGTCGAGGTCAAAATTGACTAAAAATAGCAAGTTTTGAATGGTTACAAATGGTTAAATCTCATTTATTTGTCATTTGTTCTCAAATTTCTTTAGGAATGGTTCCCCTGCATAGTCCTCCACCTTAATCCTTTTCAGGTAGTTTATTTAACACTTTGATGTGACCTCTGATGATCCTAAGAGGTCAAATCCAAAATAGCCGCCAGTCCGCATGGTTTAATGTACAAACGTGGTAACTTTTGAACCAAAAAGTGTAGAAAAACGTTTGAGGTGTCATTTCCAACTAACTTGGGGATGCCAATTCATTACGTAATACATTGAGATCGCCAGAACTCAGGGATTTGCAATAAGGTCAAGTTAAAGGTCATATTAGGCTAAAAAAAAGTGCTGTTTTCTTTTTTAAAATAAACTTTGCCTCTATTTTGACACTTAAGGTTTCATTATTTTAAAAATTAATAAAAAGACCCGTGTACCACCACTTTGACTATCCAGGGCCAAATTTCATAGAGCTGCTTATCGGTTGGTTCTGTGCTTACGTATTAGTTTCTACTTCAAAGCACTGCTAACCGTAAGAACACGAAAATGCATTAACCTTACGCTGCTTACTGGACGAAAATGAATTTTGTAACAATGCAACCCATTGTGAACGTACAAGGTACAAATTTGTCTGCTACAGTTATAGCAGGAAGATTTGCTTACCGGTTAGCAGCTTTATGAAATTGGGCCCAGAAGACAAAAAAAAAGCTATTCCAAATACGACCTAAAACCTGTTCGTAACCACAGCTATAGATATCTACATGAATTTAGCACTGTCCACAACTTATGCATATCCTAATGATGGTAACGATCAAAATCTAACAGTCTCCAGAACAAGATCACAGTTCATTGCATCCTTTCTTGCAGCGACAGTGGATTATTCATGCCACAATTTTTATGCTTCCGGGAGAGTGGTCCAAAGAGGCTGCCACCCAGTTGTTTCGTTTGTCCAGCCCAAGTCAGATGGCTCTGCATCTCTGGATTCTTGGCCAATATCTGGTTTCAACAGTTGACCTGGTAGCAAGTGCGCTTGAGGTGCTGCTTGAGTGCTGCCTGGGATGGAGGAAAGTTCTCCAGGTTTCTAGACTTCTGTGCGAAGAGCTGTTTCCTGGCATCATTCACTATCATGCTCTCACTGGTTCGGTCATATTAGCACCACAAATCACTCTGGCAGTAACATTGATCCTTCACTGACCTCCCTAGGCATGCACAGGAGTTCATTGAAGGAATCATTCACCTCTGGGAAAGACTTCTAAGTTTTTCCTGTGAATGTAGAAACAGTGTGACACCCGGTGAACGCATGAAAGATTGGAAGAGTCATACATTGTGTCAGACTCATGGTGGCAACTATCATGATTTTATGAAAAGCCTTGTACCGAAAGCTTGATCTGAAACCAAAAGCGATCCCCAGCATCAGGAGCTGTCTTGCTGAATGAAGCCACGGCCAGTTCAACCGCATCAGTACCAACAATACGTATGGATACCCTTTTACACCCATGGGACAAGGCCTGCCAAGTGTGACTCAGCAGGAGAGCAGAGTACTCCACTTCCATCTGTTGCATATTATACAGTTCCTTGCCCTGTGGTAGAGCAAGGTAAACGGCTTCGCATGACATGAAATCAAACAATTCGGTTTTGTTCTCATTGAATCGAAGGAAGTCCTTCCAGCTTTCTGGCAGCAAAATAGAAGGAGCCACCCTTTTCCTGGTGCCCTTTCCCTTTTCCTGCCCTATTGAGGCTTTCAGGATAGCAGGTGAGTATACACCATAGCCAAGGTCGATGCGGATGCTTTTCTCGAGTTGAGCAAAGATTTATGGGGCAAACACTTTTCCTCCATACTCTTGAAATGTTCTTGATGTTCCAGGGTTGAGCATTTGAACCAAAGCTTCACCATCAATAATTATTGCTTGGGCCACAGGTGCACTATTGTTTTCGAGCAGATTTGATTCCAGGCAGCGAAGTAGATCTGCTTTAACTCCAAACCGCATTTACCTCCAGTTAACAAAGCTGGCGGGACTGCCTGGTTTTCATGAGAGAAGAAATTGTCCATATCTCCATCCCTTGTCTGACACGAGATGTAAATCCCCAAAAAGAGACCACAGTCACTCTTAAGTGCTGCAAGCTGTGCCTTCTGTTTTAACATATATATATATATATATATATAACCTTCGCCGGCTGCCGACTGAAAAATGGCAACTTGTTCGTATGAAGTGTTTGTGTGACAGCTAGGTGTCGTACACTGCTCTAGCCTTTCTGTCACAAACTTTGTGTACTGCTCACCTAGGGTCTCAATCCTTCTCCCCGTTTCAGCCAATTGGATATCCATGATATGTCGCTTGTGCCAATGACTAGTATGTCTTGACTTTGTTCTAGAGATGGATTCCCCATCTCTTTCAGTACTGTCAGAAGTTCCCATCCCTCAAGAATGCTGCCTGCACTCCAGGTTGCTGGTCAAGGTGATGTTTGTATAGTGTTAGCGGAAACGTTAGTTTGCTTCATGGCATGTTCCTCAAACTCTGTAGCGATTATTTAAATTACTTAAACCAAATAAAACACAAAGTAACTTAAAAAACATCTTACCAGTATTATTGAGCAGTAACGGAAAGGAGCAGTTTCTCTGACTTGAATTGAGGTTTGTACCGTATACTGCCTAGCTGCCCACTGACCATGCTATATGCATATGGTCAGTTACAAGACAACTACTGGTTTGGTGCTATAATAAGTGAAATAAACTAACTGACAGGGATTACGATGGAGACTATGCAGGGGAACCACTCTTAAAGAAATGTGAGAACATAGGGGGACAAATAAATGGGAAAACTTTTTGTAAACATTCAAAACTTGCTATTTTTTTAGCCAATTTTGACCTTGACCTTGACTTCATGCAAAGCCCAGAGTTCTGGCGTACCCAAAAGTATTACCAAATGAATTGGCACCCCCAACTTAGTTGGAAATGACACCTTAAACGTTTTTCTGGACTATTTAGTTCAAGAGTTAAGCGTGTTTGGACAATTATTAGACTATGCGGTGGACGGGCAGCCATTTTTTATTTGACCTCTCAGGGTCATCAGAGGTCAAATCTGATTTCGCTCTACATCTGAAAATGAATCTCATGGTGTGCAGGGGAACCACTCTTAAAGAAATTTGAGAACATAGGAGCGAACAAATGACAAATAAATGGGATTTGTTTCGTTGTAAACATTGAAAACTTGCTATTTTTAGTCAATTTTGACCTTAACCTTGACCTAAATGCCAAACCCCGAAATCTGGCGATCTCAAAAGTATTACCAAATACATTGGCATCCTCAATTTAGTTGGAAACGACACCTTAAATGTTTTTCTGGACTATTTGGTTCAAAAGTTAAGCGTGTTTGTACATTAGACCATGCGGACTGGCGGCCATTTTGAATTTGACCTCTCAGGGTCATCAGAGGTCAAATCTGACTTCCCTCCACATCTGAAAATGAATCTTATGGTCTAAACTAACTATGCTAGAAGTTTCATGCTTTTATCAAAAAGTGCACAATTCTCGTTATATGGGGAGCTAATCCGCTGTACTATAGGTTTATTCTCACTGGAAAAAAAAAGCTTACCTCTGAAACTCCATCTTCTAATGATGAGATCTGACACGGCAAAAGAATTTTGGAAATGTAAAACTGACTATATTTTCTAGCAGGCAATATCATTCCTATTCAAATTGAAAGAGAATCCTATGATTGGCACACTTACACATAATTTTTAGAAAACGAAAAAAATAGCATAAGAAAAATCGTTACAGGAATACATAAAGCAACTGTAACTTCACTAAACACATAACGTTCCTTTGTCTTGCTTTGGTTATGAAACTGTAGCAAAAAGTAAAATCCAACTAGGGCCCTGGTTTTATCTTAAATGTACCCTACCAGTAGTCTTTTAAATTGAAAATGGTAAGGTAATTACAGGGTTGCTTTGTAGCAGAATGCAGTAATCTGGCAGTATTACAGATCACAGGGTCACTCATTAACTCACAAAAAATCTCATCAGTACCCATAGAGAGACTTGATTACCTGTTGCATTGTAGCAGGTAGCACCATCTGTTGAATCTTGACAGTAGCAGGCTCTGTTGCCATCTCTGATCTCACAGACTCCATTGAAAGCACACTGGATGGATTCACAGGACATCATGTGTGACAAACCATCGCACACGCAACGCTGGCCACATCCATCTGAAATGTACTCCTCATTGCTCTATAGAATGAAATGACAGAGGTGAGTGGTTAGTGACTAGTGATTAACTTTGGTCTGGACCCTGATAAATACCTTTAGTACTAATAGAGGGACTATAGGACCTTAGGGACTAAATACAAATTGTTACGTCCCTCTTCATTGTATTGAAAAATGGAATCATGACAGTGGGGAGAGATTACCAATGATACTCGGTGAGTTCTGTAACGGTCTCGAATTTGAGACCTGCATCGTAATCCCGAATGAATGTTACAAAGTTTGATCATGGTCTTGATCCAAGGACTCCAGGGACCCGTTTCACAAAGCCTTTTTTCAATGACAAATGACAAAAATCAGTGATAAATCTGCTGATAACCAATCAGAAGCAAGGATTTCAGTAGCTTATAACAAAAACTGTCATTTGTCACTGATAACAAGTTTTGTGAAACACCCCCCAGGACCATCTTATGAAGAGTTCTGAGTGATCTGAAGTGAACAATAAATTTTTTGAATTAAAACTAGCAAATGGGGGAAATAAGGGTGAATGCTCACCTTGAAATACAGTCCATTGTACGTGCACCCACACAGGCTAGCCACGGTACACTGGTCATCCTCGTAGACAAACCCTTCTTCACACACACATCCAGATGTGCATCCAAGATCTAGACTGGTACACTGGTCAACAGTTCCTAGGTCAGCGCAGGACGATGGACATTCTGTCACGCAAGAACTGTACACTGAGTTTGCAGGACAGTCATAAGCTGGAGCGATATTGTAAAAAGGAAACAAATAAACAATAATAGATGTTAATTTCTAAAAAAATCATAGAAAATTGATATTGATTTGCAATCCAACGTATGCATTCTACACAATGATGGATTGAGATATTTGTTTGCACCTGAAACCAAACTCATGAGAGATTTTCAAATATAATCATCGTTAAATTTTTGTACAGCATAATATTGAAAAGACTTTCCTAAGATATTTTCTCATTGAGTATATTGAAATATCATTTAGATTCAGAAGTTGTATGATAGAATTAATATCTCATGATACTAATCCTTCCATTTTTAAAATAGAAAGCATGATTATACCTGAAGCAGACGTGGGCCAATTATATTTGAAAACTCTGCTTACCACGATGGCTATAAAACCTAATTCCCTACATCCAAGTTATTATGTAACAAAGGAAGTCATCAGGAATATTATCATTAATATTGAGACTCATTCTTTGACTAAAAGTGACATAAAGGATAAGAATTAAACAAAACTTACAACAGGGACCGTCAACATTACGCTTCCAATCTGTCTGGAGCTGGCAGCGTGTAGCATACACCTCGACGATGTTACACAAGACTGAGCTATTCAGGTTTGTTGCACACATATCATACAGACAGCTCTCATAGTATGGATCCAGGGTGACAGTCGAATAGCAATCACCAAACACATCTGGAAGGAAAAGAGAGAGAGAGAGAGAAGAGAGAGAGAGAGAGAGAAAGAGAGAGGGAAAGAGAGAAAGAGAGAGAGAAAATAGATCAATCATTATTGAGTAAAGATACATTCATACGTATGTCACATCTTTTTGTCAATGGTAACTCACAATATTTGAATAACAAGATCAATTGAATGGAATTCCTTAGTAAGATAAAACGGTGGACAATTGGTTGAAAAGTGTGAGTTCATTCATGCATCTAGCGTAATTGGTCTCTGCCGTAGAATTACTGACAAATTATATCATACTTTTTTCAATAAACACAATTATTATGGCCCCATCAAACAGGGACTTTAACACCTTTTATTACAAGACAAGGAGTTGGGGTTTATTTGGTATACATGTATATCATAAATGAAAGAATAAATCTTGTTTGAAATTTAAAGAAAATCAATATCTGTAAATGCATTACAATCAAAATTTGTCTCTCACATTTCTACTTTTCTTTCCCTCGTTCTATCTATTAGAAGATTGCACAAAGACAAAAATGCAGTAATCTTACATGTATATGAGTGATATTTTAGTACGGGATATTTATTCTGTTTGTTTGCTTGTTTCAAATCATGCTACATGCACCTCTTGAGTTCATTATATCTCTTGACCCCAAAAGATTAAATATCACCTAAAGGTTAAAGGTAATGCAAAGTTTTGGGAAATTTTGACAATAGGGTGGATAATAATTCTTTACAATTTTGATATATTTGGATGCCACTGTGAATGTATTATACGGTAAGTAATAGAAAATTTAGCACCTAAAAATTGAAATCGAATAATCAAAATTTACTGTTGCTCCTGGTAGATTTCAAATATTTCAAATAGCGCCTACAGCCATTTCATGGTAGCTGCGACCATGAAAATCTCAGAATATGCAGTTCTGATATATAATTTCCAAACGGGAATAACAAATTGGTTGATTGTAGTCAAGAAACAATGTTTTAAAGGTAAAGTAATATCAATCTTGAGAGGGAGCTATACAACATAAAGAGTTTATTCGTTACAATTTTATCACTCTAGACTCAATTTCGTCCGCAAAAGCAATCATTGAATATTGTAAAATCGCATATGCTTCCAATATCATGACCCCATACCTAAACTTTGTATAACCTTTAACAGTAGATCCACATTTACAACTTACTTGTATCATTGAGGTAATTTGAGCACTGCGTGACTGCATTATCCCTTAGGGTTGCATCTGTATCACAAGGGTTAGTGTCTGTTGGTGTCTCAGGGCAGGAGATAGCTCCATCACTCCAGCTATCTCCAAAGTCTTCAATGGATGATGCCTGAAGATATTTCAAGTGATAATCACAATAAAATTATTCATGTATTTATTTATTTCTGATATTTATACAGGGTGGCACATATCACCAATTTGGTGGTCTCCATGAGGCCCTGTTTGGTAAGAATAAAACAAATAACAGCAGCAAAAACAAAATATAAATAGGTAAAATCCAAATCAATTGGTATCCTCATGAAATAACTGATCATTCAAGAATTATCCTTGATCTTTTACAAGATATATGTAAATGGAATTTTCCATTTAAATAGAAAATACATTTATGTTAAATGAGAACAAAATAAAGATTAGATGATCACCTCGTATTCAAAAGAAAGAATTCTTTATTGTAAACATACATTTTTTATAATCTGATAAATACCATTCAAAAGACATCAAAAGAATTACTCAAGTACATCTACACATCTTCATTAAAAGTAGATGCTTATTCATGCTCAAGGCAAAACATCTTCTCATTTTTATATTTCCAATCCACGTTTTTTTTCCTCCATAGGAACAATGAAGTGCCAACACCGAGGGCCCTGTTACTTATATCAACACTATTAAAGTAGCTACTTTCTAGATAGATATACTGACTATATTTTACTGATAGCACATGTTTTGGATTTGTTCTAAACCGAACATAGTATGGTGTAATAATGCTTATCAACAGTATTGTATGAATGATGCTATCTTATCAATTAACTCTAAAAAGGCCGGGCTATTTGAGGTCTTAGTACGGCCGGGGGGGGGGGGCCATTATGGCCCCCCTTAAGATCTCGGCCGCAAAGCGGCCGATCGCCTGGAAAATTTGCACGCATGTCAAGTGAAGTGGATAGAATTATATGATAATTTCAATGTTTTGAAAATTCACTCATTTGCATATTTATGGTAATTTATGCACATAAAGTCATAAAAATCACATTTTTACCCATAAATCATATATTATTCATATTTAAGCATTCTTTTTCACTACATATATTCATTAGACCATTCTTAATAATAATACGACAAAAAAATTTGGAAGAGCCAGCTTATTCCTTATGTTATCCCTTGTTTTGATAATTTCTTATGTATTTCATTGTATTTTTAACTTATGTATTTCATTGTTTTTGTTGTTTTATTTCATTTCTTACTACAATTCAACTATTTTGACTCCCAAAACAACCACCTAAACTTTTAACAAGACCCGATAACCCATGTTTGATCTGTTTTGGGGAAAAATGACTTTTCCATATGTTTTGTACACAAATCATGAAAATGAGTGATTTTCGGGCTGACATGCAAAGACAAAAGGTCACGTGACCTTGTAACCGTAGGTCCGATTTAAAAAAAAATTCTTTTAAAAGTTGCGCAAGACTCGAAAAAAAAAGTCAGCGAGCGGCGGGGCGCCATCCACATGCGTTCCAGAGTAATCAGAAAAATTGTGGAGGGGGCCATAATGCCCCCCCCCCGGCCATATTAGGGTTAATAGTAACTTGCAACTTCAACCATTAATCAGAAAATTAAAATTATTTAAGCTTCACAGCGATATATACAAAAAACTTAGTCTCTGATATTTAATCAGGGAGAGACGTGCATACTCACCTCAGATCCATCGGGTTTAGTGAAATCATTGTTAGCATCACCGTCCAGGTTGCCACACAGTCCACATACATTGCCGTCGTAGTACTCGGAGAGCCACACCTCGGCTGTGCTCACTCCATCCCATCTCACTGCTAGATCATAGTTTGTCATCACAACCTAGAGAGAGAAACAGAGAGAGAGAGAGAGATTGGGAGATGGTTAAACGACAGAGACAGGGTCAGGTATAAAGAGAGCATTGAGAGTAGTAAATAAAGACAAAGAGAGTCATAGTGTAACAAGAGGAGGAGAATGGGAGAAGGGAGTATAGGAGGAATAAGCAGAAAAAATGAGAATAAAACACTACCAATAAATAATTATAGTATACATACACTTCAAAGAATACCATTTGCAATCTTTGAGAAATCTTGCAGAGATAGAGTGTGTGACCAATATCCTCGTTTGTTAATATGCTAAAAAATTTACAGAACATTCCCTCTGAAAAACAAATCTAACCCCCTCCCCCCCAAAAAAAATTAAAAAAATAAATAAAAAAATAACCCAACAAACAAAGAGCAGATATTAACTATGATGAATCTCAAACAAAATCTTTTTTTTCTTTGTACAGTGTACATTGATTTTTGTACAATCTTGAACAAATGACCTAATTAACCATTAATCAAAATATGAATTTCCTTAATTCAATGGAACAGTACCTGTAAATGCACAGGCATGGTAAAATATTTGGAGGTTGGTGGATAAATGCAGATGAAATGTAGTCTTTACCTTATATTCTCCACTCTGCGTAAAGTATACATTGTTCTTGTAGAAAGGAACATTGACGCGAACACCATCAAGGAAGATATCGGTAGTTGTCATGGTGATAGCCTAGATATAACAACAGAAAGGGGGATGAGAAGACAAAGGGCATGAATTTATGAGTTATAAATTTGGTAACATCTCCAACCTTCTGAAAACATGAAAATGTAATAGCATTATTTCAAAGAAAGTTTTCAGCCTGTATTCTCTGAAACATTCCTTTATTCCGAACCTATTCTCTTAAGGAGAGAAATCAAACAAGTCAAACACATTGATATTTCATAATTTGTCTTTAGAATTTTACATTTCTATAGAAAATCTATCATTCAAAGGCCAAATTAAAAAGCTTAATAACATTTCGTACAAAGAAATACAAATTGAACTAGATTTGTAATACTTGTTTGAAACAAGTATAGGTGGGCTGGTCCAACTAAAATTTAAGACAAAATAAAGGGCACATTTGAGATAGCATATTGTCTCAGCTACAACATACTCGAAGTTCAGCGTAAACAAAGCTAAAACGACAGAGATATTGCTCGCGAAAGACGGAAATGTAGAATCCAGTTTTGAGAAAAACTCATGTCCCTTAGAGAATACACGCAAAAAGTGAAAAATTGACATGCCTCCTTTAATCGCACAAATACGTCCTGATGCCTTTGTCAAAATGAAAATTTATGGCAGCCATATTTGTAGAACATTGTCTCAGGTAGAACATATCAAAATTTGGAAGAAAATTGATCAATATTTTTAGAGATACAGTCAATTTAAAAAAAATATGCTGACATCATAATATGCAAATTGAAATTTTGAGTTCAGAGGTCATTATGATGACGTCATGAGTTAATTGAGGGTCAAATGAAACATGAAATCATATCTCCAATTTATTTTCTATCAAAATATGAAAACAAAATTGGGGTCACCTTGCAGCCTAAAGAGCTACAATGGATTTTGTATAGGCATGTTTTTGCCCATATATGCTATGTATTACAAGAGCTCGCGCGCACTGAAATTTATGTTAAACGGTCGATCATTCCGTTATTAATAGTCATTAAGAGACAAACATGGTATCAATTTGTTTGTAAAAATATGTGGAATATTATGAAAGAAAAAAAATGGCGATTCTATGTTGTGTAAAAGTTTTACGCGCGAAAACGCGCGCGCATGCGCGTGTGAGCAATTTTTTATAAAATGCTTAGAATGGCCTTAAACGTATGCAAAATGATTTTGAGACGATTTTGAGCATTTTAAAATTTTGCGCGCGCATTTACGCGCGGACGTACGCGCACGCGCGCGTTATTTGACCTGAAATTGACCGGACGGATATTGACCTTGATCATAATAAATATGAATGAGAAATACCTTTTGGTTATGAAGATATGATCATGAGTTGATTTTCGTAAAATTTTACAAAATGGCGCCTAGATGACGTCATCAGTGAAGGTCAATGTTGAAAACGTTATTGTGCTTCGTACATATGCCTATACATATGTGTGCCAAATTTCAAGGCATTTGATTGAGCCATTTTCGTGTTATTTTGTTCACAAAAAAGTGGTTAGAAATAAGAAAAATATTTAATAATAATAAATAAAGGCAATTCTAACGAAATTATAAGGTGGTCTGTACGTTATACAGCCCACCTGAAAATGAAACTTAAAACAAGATTGTAATATATTTTGTATGTAATCGTCTCTGCTTCAGAGTGTTTGAAATACTGACTTCAATAGTAACCAATTACGAAACTGCATTGTAAAATTCTCTACCACCAAGCAAAAGAATTTCTAGAATAATTTAGTATCAGGTCAATGAGAACCTCAGAAATAACCTGCTAGTACTCTGTAAAGACTCTCGAGATACTGCAACCCTATATTTATGTCAATGGCAAGACATTGATCTATGTTTGCCACTCTCCATCCAGGTGTTAAATGGGAACCCGGAAGATGCGAAAGCTAATGTGCTTAGATTAGCAAGTGTGCGCTTGTAAAAATGAAGCCTGGCTGGAATGCTCCCCAGGGAGTGGACAACGTGCATACAATGTGTGCAGGTAAGCCTGAATCCGATGACCGGGGTAATAATATATATTTTTAAAGTGCTTTGAGAGGGCCTGCGGTCCTGAAAAGTGCAATATAAGAACAAGCTATTATTATTATTACTCACCAGTCCCTCAACATTCACAACAAGTTCCCTGGTGTATGTGAAGCTGTGTGTATCACTATCCTTTGCTGCTGTAGCTGTGACGCTGAAGGTGTTATCTGAGGTGCCATTGATGCAATCAGAGGTGACTAACGTGTAAACGCAATCCCCTTGGAAGGTATAATCTTGCCCATCAAAGGTAACATAATGTGGGTCACCATAGATGGTGCACACTTGAAGGTCATACACTGTAAGATAAAATGGTATAAGAATAAACTAGACTTTAATTCGTCACTTAGACGAATTAGGTGATACGTATGATAATGGTTTACATAACGAATAATGCATTACACGATATATTGTTTTGTAAAATGCTTCTCCCATTTATATGCTTCTCCCATTATGATCTATTCATATGTCAAGATTAAATTGTGTCTCCTTGATCATCATGGATCTAGGGAAGATAGATTGAAACAATATATGACCTTTGACCCTGTACAGTAACCAGTTACACATTTGACTCTAATTTACATCATGAAGAACACCTTTTGACGATTTTATCTTATTCAAAGAAATGAAAATGTAATTGATAAATGATTATCATCATTATGATAATGATGATCATGATGATCATGATCATGATCATGAGCGCGATCATGACATCTTATTGAAAAAATGAGGGTTGATTTAGATAGCATATAGTCTCAGCTACAACATACTCAAAAATCAACAAAATCCAAGCAGAAGTAACGGCGATATTGCTCGCAAAAGACAGGAATGTAGACTCCAGATTTGAGAAAAAGTCATCTCCCATAGGGATTACACGCAAAAAGTAATGGATTAAGTGAAAATAGGGTAATAATAAAGTAAAAAGGGTTATTTATGACATTATTTGCGATTCTACGTGTTTAAATAATCAAAGGAGATGGTACAGTGAAGGTCAAAAGGAAAAAAAGAGTGAAGCAAAAAATTGTTGGAGACACCCGGACTCGAACCAGGGATCTTGAGGTTGGAAGTCAAGTGCGTTACCGATATACCAAAACATCTCCCATAGCGATTACACGTAAACGGGAAATGGAATTCTGAAATCCTACTTTGCAAGTGAAATATGAGCATGATCCCGGCATCTAATCGAAAAATAAAGGGCACACTTGTGATAGCTCATTGTCTCAGCTACAACATATTCGAAGCTCAGCGAAAACGAAGCTAAAACAATAGAGATTTTGCTCGCGAAAGACAGGAGTGTAGAATCCAGTTTTGAGAAAAAGTCATGTCCCATAGAGAATACACGCAAAATGTGAAAAATTGACATGCCTCCTTTAATCGCAAAAATACACCATGATACTTTTGTCAAAAATAAAAATTGTGAATACTGCATTTGTAGAAAATTGTCTCAGCTAGAACATATCAAAATTTAAAAGAAAATTGATCGATATTTACAGAGATACAATCAATTTTCCAAAAATATGCTGACGTCATAATATGCAAATTGAAATTTTGAGTTTGGAGGCCATTATGATGACGTCATAAGTTAATTGAGGATCAAATGAGACATGAAATCATATCTCCGACTCATAACCTATCCAAATATGAAAAAATATTAGGAGTTTCTATCTATTATAAAGAGTTACAATTAATTTTATATAGGCATGTTTTTGCCAATGTATTGTGGATAAAGATAACGCAAATCCGCGCGTGCTGTCAACTTTGACGGACGCTTATTGCGTTAATAAAAGGTGAACAAATTATCAAAATGCTTGGAAAAATCGGCGATTCTATGTTGCAAAATGCCAGTACGTGCGAAAACGCGCGCGCATGGGCGTGTGCGTAATTATTTTATCAAATGCTCCATATGGCCTGAAACGTATGCCAAAAAAATTTGGGATGATTTAGAGCATTTTAAATTTTTGGACGAGCGCACGCGCGCATTTGCGCACGTTTTTTGACCTGAAATTGACCGGACGGATATTGATCTTAATCGTGATAATTATGAATGAGAAATACTTTTCCGTTATGAAGATATGATCATTAGTTGATTTTCACAAAATGGCGCCTAGATGACGTCATGATGACTTTGAGTCTTTGAAAAGTCACGCAGTTCTAAGTTAGACTAAGATCTATCATCATTGAAAGATTCATAACAATGGCTTCATTCAGTCTTGAGATATCCTGCGAACAAATTCGAGGAAGAATAATAATAAATAATAATAATAATAAATAAATAACAATCTTGACGAAATCAAAAGGTGATACGTAGACTTCGTTACGTATCACCTAACTATCTGTGGTGTACACACACATCAGATTTTCACCAAAAGACAGCATATCATGAAAACAAGGTCCCTCAGAGTGTAATCTTAAATCAAAATGATAATTTATTAGCATTATGAAAGAAGTTATTCAAAGGGAGTGGGTCACCAGTAACCAGGTGCACAAGGCCATATTTCGCTAACACCAGACATGGTCGAATTACCATTAATGTGTGTACAAGTCTGCACCCAGCAAACCTGTAGGCCTATCACAAAATACCTCCTCATCTCTCTCGGAGAGGCTTCGGTTGAGGGAAAAGTGATATAATGGCTTTACCATATGGGAGAATGCACTGCATTACAAAAGGCTTGTTGGTCATAAATCTGAAGGCGAATTCTGGGGATTGACAAGACCTGTTATTGGGTAAACACCCAAACTGTGTCGAATTCCCCATGAGAGACCCCTCCTATGTATCTTTAAATTGTTTAAAAGGGGTGTAGCATGATGAGACTACGTGTCTTTCCCGTGGACTGACTCGGGGCCAATCGGGTATAATACAACTACAGACGACGCGACCAAAGCATGAGGAGAACTTTGGTCTGTTACGTGAGCGCTAGCGGGCGCTGATCAGTAATCAAGTCCATTCATTTACGTGCAGTTGTTCAAAAGAAGTCGTAAATGTCATTAACAAGTATTTGCATGCCACACCCCCTTTAAAATAGACCGGGGACCCGGGCTGGGAACCTCTAGAGTTCTGATATTATGTGCACCAAAGTTCTTTGACAACAAGCACTTCATTCACATCTACAGTAGACAACCAGTTTCACTGAAGGAACAAATAATCAAGTGAATTGTTTGGTAAAATAAAATATAATTGATATTCACACGAAATATCTCAATTAAAAAAGATACTGATACAACTATTGGTAATTATTGCCCGTATCGGACATCTGAGCTGGTCATGTACACACCGTATTGCCCTAGTTTTCACTAGCAGTGGAAACGGAGGTGTATATTCTTTGTATTTTCCTTGGTCTCCCTGCTCGTATACACTTTGCGTGTAGAGACGAGTGAAAATATACCTTTGTATTTTCCACGGTCTCGCATCCGGGCATCTTGTATTGACCACGCCATATTTTGTCATTTTCATTGCGCATCTATTATGCGTACGAAAACCTGCACACTTTGCGCGCACTCTATTGTGACGTAATAATCACACCAAATGCACACTGTTTGCAGTGTATCAAAAATTTTGTCAAGCACTGGATGCACAGTGCTGGTTTGACAAAGTTTGTTCAGTTCTTTGAGATTGTCATGGTGGATTTCTGTATTTGCTCTAGATGTCTGATTTGGATAACAATAAAAATATCGACTGGCTTTACTTTCAGGGGATATCAGAAATATTGACCGCGCTAAGACCATATTGCCCTCGTCTTTCGACTCGGGGCAATATTATCTGAGCTTGGTCAATATTCATGATATACCCCTCAAGGCCAGTCAATATTATATAAATGTATCAGTTAATATAAAATAGCAGCATGTTTCTGTTTGAATAAGTGCAAAGTGTACACTACAAATCATTCTGTTAGTTTCCGGATCGGGACGTTGAGGAATAAAATGGAAGAAGAGGAAGGAGACAAAGAAGAGGAAGAGGATGATGAAGAAGAAGGAGGAAAAAGTTAGATTAAGAAGAATGAAAGGTATGAAGAGGATTCACTTCATTTCTTTTTTTTTTAATAATTAACATTACCTTAACCATTACCAAAGGAAGAACTAGAAGAAATAGGAGAAGAAGAAGAAGAAGAAGAAGAAGAAGAAGAAGAAGAAGAAAAAGAAGAAGAAGAAGAAGAAAAAGATGAAGAAGAAGAAGAAAAAGACTAAGAAGAAGAAGAAAAAAGGATGTAATAATCACAAAACGGCTTTTGAGTTGAGCAAATTTCCAATCTTCTTCTCTCCCGACGTACCTTTTCATTTTGTTTTACTACACCCAATGTGGACTTTGAATAAAAAGAAAAGGAAAAGATTTAAGGAAAATATAACATTTGAAAGATCTCTAGATGTAATTCGGAACGTTAGGGTAACAAAAAAATTATAAATATTTACCGATGGCAGAGCAGGTATATCCATCTCCCTCGAAACCGATATTACAGACGCACGTTGGGTCGTTGTTTTCGTCCATGCCGCAGCTCGCATTCTCGTCGCATGAGGCCACTTCACACATGAAAAGTCCGCTCATACATGTACATAATTCGGAGCAGGTGCTTGAGAGTAATGTGGTTCCAGCCTGAATAACAATAAAGAAATCAAAAAAATAATTATTTAACTGACATTCTAATCTTCTTCTCTGCTTTCCAATTACTATTTGTCTGGCGGCGTATCCTGACACCTACCCCCCCCCCCCCCTCCTCCCCGGATAACCACCCCCAGTCAACTACATTCTAGGAGAAATACCCCTAGCACAACTTCTCCCTAGGGCAACCACCCTCTAGGACGACTACCCCCTGGGACAAATACCCCCCGGACAACTACCCCCTAGGACAACTACCCCCTAGGACAACTACCCCCCGGACAACTACCCCCAGACAAATACCCCCCAGATAACTACCCCCTAGGAAAGTTGTCCGGGACTAGTTGTCCTCTTTGTCGTGGGGGTTATGGTCTGGGGGTAGTTGTCCTAGGGGTAGTTGTCGAGGGGGTAGTTGTCCTAGGGGGTAGTTGTCTAGGGGTTAGTTGTCCCGGGGGGTAGTTGTCCTAGGGGTAGTTGTCCGGGGGGTAGTTGTCTTGGGTAGTTGTCCCGGGGAGTAGTTGTCCTAGACGGTTGTTGCTCTAGGGGGAAGTTGTCCTAGAGGGTAGTTGTCCTAGGGGATAGTTGAATGGGGGTAGTTATCCAGGGGGGTAGATCTTAATGCTTTAAACGAACATGTTCGCATTATGAAATACGTTTTCTTTTTTCAAAAGGTGATGCACCACAATTTAATATATTTTATTTTAATAATTTTGAGGTTACATTTAAAGGTCTTTATGATCGAGTTTACATCAATACTTACGGAATAGAAGACCCCGTCACGCTCGCAATGACACTGGCTGATCGGCACGCAAGAATCGCTATCAAGTAAATACCCGTCATCGCAATCGCATCCCTCAACGCATCGGGTATCGCACGGAGGATCGACGGCGCGGCCAGGGCATGTCTCGGGACACGAGCTTGTACACGTCTGGTAGGTCGAGTTGCTGCTGCTGCACGCCGAGTCTGAATCAGGAGAGAGATAGAAGGATGATGTCGGAACAAAGAATTAAAACAAATTTGTCTTTATAATGCTCTAGTGAACTAAAAGAGAACAAAACAAACATCTTGTCGCTTCGAATGATCATACATTTGTTGTCAATTTTTTAACACTAACATCCCTGTTAGGGCATGTTAACATGATCTACTTTTTTCAGTAGTTTCCACCAACTTATCTTTAATCATACTATACAATTATATTACAAAAATACTTTACCAGCGGTATAACAGATAATTCTGTTCTTAATTTCTGTCCTAAATTAAAGTTTCCTTATGAGCTATAAGGTGTTATTGAAAACGCTTAGTGATATTTGCCAAATGTTTTTGTAAGCTGTTTATCGTATTTCTCGATACAACTCACAGAAACTAATTGATGTGCTAGATGAAATCATCCCTTGAAACATTTCACATTAATATTATCCGATTAAAATAATATCAACAATAATTATATTTTGATTCCTGATAAAATGCAATTCTCGTCACCCATATAGTGAACAATTTCTACATCGCATCGCAATTCAATCCGACTACATGTTTACAATTATGTTGGACAATTGTGTTATTAATTACCACATGAGCTTCCAGTTCTCCACTCTTCGGTGATAGGATGACCTTCGTCGAGACATGTCTGATGGTAGGCGGCAAATGCATTGCAGTCGGCCCCCTCGTCGCCCGGTAGCTCGGCACAGACATCGTAGAGGCACGAGTCGTAGAAGAAGGCAGAGTCCACCGATTGTTGGCAGTACGCAAAGCCAGACACTACCGAAAGAAGAGGAAGGAGAAAATAATATTCGGGGGAGGAAATAATATTCGGGGGAGGAAATAATATTCGGGGGAGAAAATAACATTCGGGGGAGAAAATAACATTCGGGGGAGAAAATAACATTCGGGGGAGAAAATAACATTCGGGGGAGAAAATAACATTCGGGGGAGAAAATAATATTCGGGGGAGAAAATAATATTCAGGGGAAAAAAGATGTGAATTACAAACAATCAGACCGTGGATTTTGTTCGAAAATTCAAGTTTTTATTAAATTATAAAAGACCAGAAGAAGGCAGAGTCCACCGACCGTTGATAGTCACTGAAGCCTGAAGGCCGACACTAACACAGAATATTCGATGAAAAAGATGTAAGTTTCGTTATTTGAATAGTCAGACGTTGGGTTATATTAGAAATTGCCGGTTTAGAGATATATGTCACTGTATGAATATTCCGGCATTTCTTTTAGTTTGTTAAAACCGGTCGGAACTTGAGGGCCTCATAAAACTAAACATGAATCTACATCTGTAATCTAACGATATTATTTCACAAGTGGGGCAAGAAATGACAAAATCTCAAGCTTAACCTAAAAAACATAACAAAGCAGAGGTTTAATGGTGTGTTAAAGTATCCAAGATATGATTTTCCGCGAATTTTTATTTTACTTACTTAGATTCCACAATGAAGAAAGTCAAACATTCCTTTTCGCATTTTTTGAAAATGTCCTGATTTTCTCTTTTGGTTATAATAAAAAGATGAGTTCGAAACATGCAATTTATTGCATAACCCTCACCATTGTTAACATTACAGTTGTAACTATATTATATGATTTTTTTAAAAATTTATTCGGCCGTCTTATAATTAACAATGGGGGCATATTTATCACAATCAGTATGTATACCTGCATCGCTAGAAAGAATGCTGCATCTACTCTGGGCAGTGGCAAGTAGATCCGAGTCGGTAGAGCATGGATCTATTTGGGTGGTGTCAGAACAGTCATCTTCAAGACTCCATCCGTTAGCGAATGATGTCGAGTCAGCCGCCTAAATTTGACATCAAACAAAAACGATTAAAAGGAAAGCTACAATAAAGACAAAGAATACATTCAACAAGCCAAACGGGATTCTTTCCTCGGGCAAAAATAACATTTCTGGGACGTAAAGAAACGTTCTTTAACATTTTGAGTCTTCAGGACGTTTTCCAAACTTCTTGAGAACGTTGTGCATTTGCTAAGCAAGTGTACATAATAGACTTTGGTATCTATGAACGTTCTTTAAATTACGCAAAACGACAGAGTACGAACTGTGTAAAATTATCACTCTTGTCGCAAACATTAATACCTCTACACTCAATGTTGTAACCTACGTAATCAGCAAATAATTGGCGACTGTCATAATTATTCTGATACTTTCAGCAGAAAACTCGATCAAGTATCATGACTAGGGAGATCGGAGCAAACTGACTCATTTTCCTTTGTATTTTAAAAACGCTATTTCAATGCTGGACCCTTTTATTCTACATCTCACAATAAATTACGCCATATTCTTTATTCAGTTAGTTAGTTTTACAGACACACAAGAAATGAAAGAGGGCCGTAGCAAAGCTAAAAATAGAAATGTAATACGCGACTTCTTTCTCAACATGAAAAATGTTATAAAATTAAATTTCCTGTGAGACTATTAAATGAGTCATGATTTTTTCCCACGACTACCTCCCGACTTTACAATACAATAGAGTTCCATTTCACTCAGATAACTCTTTTAACAATGCCATCCCGGCAAATATTGGTAGACATATGAAATATGAATCATGCGATGAAGGCTTTGTGAAGAGTAAATATTGAAAAGAAAAACAGACGAAAATAAGAAAATAAAGAGTTTTTTGTTGTTGAGACACGGAATGCCGTGTTCTTAACGCGTTAAGGGTTGGTTTAGAGTTGAACAAAATCAAACACGACATACTCAACGATCCATATTTAGATGTCAAGTATGTGACGTCAAGTACCATCTGAGATCAATGGATTACATACATTCATAAAAAAAAATAATATGTTCCCACAATAATTCATCCAAAACCAAAAACGACAATGGGACATCTTATCGGTTTGACTTATACTTTGAAAGGAAAAAGAAAAAAGGGTTTTTCATGTCTGTAGCAAAATCAAACGAAGTAGACCGGACTGTGTAAATAACATGTTATAAAACTCAATACAAAAATCGATAATGGAATATGGATATTGGAATATGAATATTCTATTCATAACTTTCTGGCATGCATTCTTTACATGTCATATACAAATTTAAAGTGAGCTCCGACGGCCTAACAAACGGTTAAACGGATATGGTGAAGCAATGATAAATACTATAAATAAAATAAAACAAATAAACACACACAAGTGTAATATAAGTTATATACATTTCGCTCTTTACAGTTATACTGACAAAAGAAAATTACCAAGGAGCCGTCGGGAAGAACGAAGTCATCGGATGCTTCTCCGTTGAAGTTGCCACATAGACCACAAGTGGCGCCGCTGTAGGCTGGCGGTAATGTCAGTGTTATTCCACCTTCTCCATCCCATCGCAGTACCAATCCCGTGCTGGTTGATACAACCTGATAAAGAAATTCATCATAAATGGATAACAATATCTGCAGAAAGTAGTCGCAAAAACATTAAAATAGCTATGTCAATCCCCTTTTGAAATCTGCGAACACGACAATGACATGTTACATAATCCAAAAATGATTTCTATAATCCATACAAGAGGGTACAGAAATTGGACTTTTGTTGATTTCTTGAAGTCTTTGCGACAATCACTACGTTATTTTTCAATAGGTCATGACAATTATCCTCTCTACCTTTGATTTAGGCGAGCTACCATGATATCATAGAGAATGTTTTCCTACCAGGTTCCGATTTGCATTACCCCTGGAAGTCACGAGAAGCACATATTGTTAAACTGTTTCCATTTTCAGACGTTACACGCAAACAAAAACCCAACCTGATATGTTCCTATATGTTTTGGAAATAATGCCTTCATGATTATGCATACATGGATATTCTTCGGTTGTAACACGGGCTTAGCCCTGTTTGATGATTAAACCAAATCAGTTTGGTTTGCTTTAAAACTCACTCCACTTTAATAAATTATCTTTGTCAACGAATATTTATATATTGTTTTTGCTAACCTTGTTGATCAAAGAAGAAAAATAATATCATAATTATCAAAAGAGGTTGCAAGGGTGTTGGAAAATTACATATTTATGAGAAAGGTATTGACATTCATTCGTTTATTAATTTTAGTGGCCCTGTCCGATCAATAATCAGAGTATATGCATTTTCGTTATGATATCATCTCAGTGTGGTTACTCACATCTACAATACGGTAGGCAAACATAAACGTGATACATCAATATTTCACCCTTGTATTTACAACAAAAGCATTTTAAGTTCAAGAAAATATGAGAGAAATGAGAAACATGTTAATAAAATCTTTATAGAATATGCCCCTGTATAATTCCATCGCGTGATAACGATTTTGTGGAGTTTTTATTCCTTGTCACTAGGTAACATGGCGTTCCGTATACTTACAATCCGTAAGCAGACGCACACAGTCTTTTCATTGAAGAGTGGCTAAGCAAACGGGGTACAATATTTTGAGTGACAGAGGGGTGGAATGGATGTTTGCTTATTACTGCACAAACAGACACTTTCATTTCATCAAAATACGTCCCTCGCATGGTATATGACACACGAGTCTTTTGAAAATTATCTCTGGCAAACATATGAGCTGTGACTAGGACTATAATGAAAGCTGCTGAGCGAGAGAGAAAAAAATGACATAAAACTGAACTTGGTGAGCGCTCTCCTTAACGAAGTAAGTAGGGCTGAATAAAGAAAGCACGTCACGATATAGTGTGATTAAGGATCTGTTTTAAAATAGCTTATGACGAAAGAAACACCTTGATTGACAGCTGTGCATGTCCAAGGCACGCTTAACATCTAGATATTTATGAACAAAATTAGAGCAGATTACACAATTATATTACCACAGCTACAAAATTATATTGCTTTGCTCAAACAATAACGATGATGTGATGTCGTAGTGAATATGCGCTCATTTTGCCTTTGACTTGGGTATCAGATGCCCCTGTTCAAATATAAATGTGCTAGATAGTATACCTACTAAGTGACTTTCAGACTCGTCGTAATTAATGTTCACAGTCAAGCTAGGCAGACAATGAAGATATCAGGGAGAAAATTGCATGAAATGATCTCGCGATGGCAAAAACACTTTCTTTTATAATTGAAGTCGCCTTGTGATTTTTGACACGTCTTATCGCTCCCTTTTGAGTCATGTTACTTAATTATCAATGACAAGCTACCGCACTTATACTTAATCATGAATGACACTGTGGCCGTTGGTGGACACAGTCCTATCACTTTTCATGTTATCGTTTCAATCTTAACATTTAATGAAAACAACGTTTACAAGCCTCGTCAAACTGGGCGTGTTTTCTTTGATCAAACTTTATCGAATCAAATGAAAGTTTGAAGGAAAAGCTCAGCATGTAAAGATCTAGATCGCTAAGAAAATGAAGTATTCGTTTCCATGTTTAATTGTGGTAAAACACTTTGCAACTCGAAATTGATTAGCAATAATTTCCATGTCCTTTTTTGCTTGAAAGAAGTATTGTTGGTTGTTACTCGACAAAGGCGTAACAAACAAAACGTAATCAGTATCCCTACATAGTAGATTTACGACAGCCCTTGATTTGAACGCTTTTCCCCCACTTTCACTCAACATTTCTATTAAATTGAGATTAACACAAGTACACCTATAAATTGTAATTGTAATTGTAAATAATTGTAATTGTAAATGTAATTGTAATCATAATTGTAATTGTAAATGTAATTGTTATCATAATTGTCATTATGACTGTTGTAATTGCTATTTTTATTGAATTGGTTTACTTCTAACACTTTTTAGCGAAAGCCAAACAGTTCCACAGCGTAAAATACAAAATATATACAATCATTGAATAGGTACTTGAATATCATAGAACAACAAACCAATTACTAATAATTAACTACATATCTCGGGAGTTGCGTCAATGATACTACATAATCGAATTGTAAAAAAGTATGTTCAGGTATAGAATTAAATGTGTGCACCGCCTCATGACATCATGGAAGAATCTACTTCTTAATTAAAAAAGATGCGAGCGCCATTTCGCTTCCCCCGAAAATCGTACTTCCCTGCTTGTCAGAGTCTTTTCCCTCCAAAGGGACACTAAACACCCGATGTATTTTTTTTCTTTTGCTTGTTGCAGAATTTGTATAACTTGCCCCCCCCCCCCTGAATCTGCTACGGAATGGGACTCTAAACCCACCACATATCGGCCAGCGTAAGTGATGTAGAGACCACTAGAAGAGTAGTATGGTAGACGCTGAAGAACATCGTCGAGCAGTACAACAGGACCTTGCAGTAACGAGATTTTCTGAAGAAAAATAGACGAAATACAAAAGTGAAAACGATACCGTTACCATTATTCATGGACATATATAAAATATATTAATATACCTGAATACAAACAAAATGTTTGACAACGTATGTGAGTTGGGCATAATAAAGTTAGTTTAGAAAATGCATTGGCTGTGGAGAAAAACGAGTGATTTAGCTCTTTGTATCAAACTGTCAAGATAAGTAGAGCAATTCATTTGTTGGTCTACACTTAATCAGATATGTCTAAGGATCCTCTAATTTCTGTTCGATTACACATTCGCCCACATCTCGGGTCTGTAAGTATATATACAAAAAAAAATATAATGGCCCAGTTCATCAAACAAACAAAATCAGAAATAACATCGAATATAGAACGGTGTCGAGAAAAAAAATGCTCATGTCCAACTTCATGAACATTCCAAAAACACACTAAAAAGAGTTTAGAAAATTATTAATCATCAAGTTTTTATTATTAAATTAATGATTGAACTGCTCGCTAAATGCCCAATAATTTCAGAACAAACTTCCATTCATTTGACTTACATGTGACGAAATATTGAGATACAGCTCTCTAAGGTATGACGTCGACCCGTCTACCACCTTCAACCTGTTGTTGATAACCACGTCGAACCAGGGCCGGTCTTCATCCGTCAGGGACTCGTTACAGAGCTTGGCGAGAGTGTAGTTACACTGCCCTTGGAAGTGGAAGGTTCTATAGTCGAATGTTATGTAATGAGGGTCACCCCAAATGCGACAGGTGGACGTCTCTGTAACGATAAGTGTTGGTATATATCAAGTGAATTTCAAAGAACGTCTTTTGTAAAGTAATGCACGTGTTTGTAAAAATAAATAATAGTACGCTACTTGATCTTAAAGACTGTCAATACTACTGAGACAGAAGGAATTAGACCACAGTAAAGTCACTGACAGGTGGCTATTTCATTAACTCAGCTCTCAACATAAGAAAAAGAGGATCATGGGGGACCAACAGGCACCGATTGGGGAAGTTTTCTATACAGAGGGAGCAAGTAGCTACAAGCAGGACAATGTTGCTTTAATATATCACGTTTCTAAAGAGCTCAAAGGAGGAACATAAACATCATGGGGATGGCAAGTATTTCATTGTAGCTGCAAATCGTACGGTTAAAAGGTTGCATGAACTCGATACGAATAGGTAGAAAGTTTTCTGAAGGAAAAACCATGACAGAAGATTTCGTCTTTTCTAGATGTCGTGCTATAAATGGAATGGACCTTTGCCGATTAACTGTTATAAGTCTAGCAATATATTAGGTTGATATATCGTGTAAACTGATGTACAAAGAGAGACAGAAAGAGAGAGGGAGAAGAGAAGAGAGAGATTCTGAAACGATCGACTTTAAATATTTTACAACTTTTGGTATTCAAACGATATCCATTTATAAAAATGGAAAGAAATCTAACTAGCCTTGTCGCTAGGTTTGTATTATTTCTCTTCCCTGAATGAAATTAAACATGTGATTATATGAGTGGGTGACGCTCATTGAAGTAACTATAGAAACCAGCAGAGCTTTACTTAGTCTTGATGCATCGACGCATGCGCATGACCTGACGAATTAGGTCATCATAACCGTTGGCGGGAAAGACGGAGAAATCGCGAGCATATGGGGAGCGTGGCATTATCAAGAAAAATGTGATACAATAGAATTCACATTCTATGAGGCCACCGGCACAGAAAAAGATGGATATAGAAAAGAGAGAGAAGAAAAAAAAAGAGAGAGAAAGAGAGAGAGAGAGAGAGGGAAAAGGGAGAGACAGACACATATAGATCAGAGGGGGGTTCAAGAGAAAGAGATCAAGAACTTTGGAATCGTGAGGGGATCAAGGGGGGGGGGGAATGGGAAATTATTCAATAGGAATAATATGAACAAAATATCAATGTCGGACATGGGCTCTATATGACTCGGGAACACATGTATGATAACAGAATTTGTCATGTCAAGAATTGGTGCAGAAACTTATAGTGGTGTTGTCGCAGGCCTGGCAAGGGAAGGAGGGAGCATTTAATACGGACGCCAAAGTAGTAGACAGAGAGTGACATGTCAAAAGAGCTCATGGGAATATGAAAGAAAATTACAAGAAAAATAAAGAGTACTTTAAAGACAGGTGATGAAATATAGATGGATAGAAATAACTATAGGTAGTGTGAGCGAGATAGTGAGGATATGACTCTCAAATCGCTGATGTGTTTTAAACAAGTTGCTGAACAATTTTTCGTTAGTGAACTGTATTGACGTTGTGGGCCTACCTTCCTTTCGTTCAGGACGCAAAGACAGGCTGAAGATGCCATGCGGTCATTACGGATTATCCATCGCTTTGGAGCAGTACATAACAAGCGCATGATAAAATGTTATTCTAATATTCGTTGCTGGGAAACACCACGGAATATTACGCGCCATCTAATTTGTTCAAAAGACACATTAAAAATCCAACCCTTAAAACATCGCCCCGACGAGATCTAGCTGTCAGGCCTACAAGTGGAGTACTGTACAGAACAACTCGATCGCGGGTGTTATGTCGCCCTTGCTAGAACTCCATGCGTCATATGCAATATACCTGCGGCCCCTCTTTCCTACCAAATTTACTCTTAACAAAGGATCATGGCTGGAACTTTGAACTTCATAAAAGGAACGGGGCAGAGGAAAAAATTGCCACAAATTCAAGTTCACCCAAAGGTCCTTTGTTTGCTTGAAGCGATAAAGCAAACCCAGACAATACAATTCCATCTCTCTCTCTCTCTCTCTTTCTCTCTCCTACCAATTTTTTCTTCTTTCTTTTTCAACAATTGTTTGCACTGGTAGGCTGTGGTTGGGTTGCCGGTAACAATGGCCCAGGCACGGATATCATTTTCATATACGCATTTTCTGTGCACACAATGTTTCGTCCAATAGGAGAGTGCCATGCGAGCTTGATTGGCAATGAGTCTCTATTGACTGCCGTGCCCCGCGCGATATATACCCGACCTGTCTGCCATTTTGAAGACCAAATTCGTGCCCGACACCACCAGACAGCATTTGGGGCGCCATCGGACCGGTGGTGGTGGTGGAAGCCGTGTCGGGGTAAGAAAGCAGACGTAGCTTGACTTGTTCACTTTGTCTTTTTGTCATTTTTCTTATTTCAACCTGCGCGCCTTTTTCTTTATCCAAGATATAAACTAAACCGCTTAGTGCAGCGAAGGCCATGTCTTAAGCTTGTGGTATGGATGTTTTTAGAGCAGGAAGTTAATTCTGAGGAGCTGATTTTTTACATTCTCGTCCGGTAAACCTGCTATCCGTATTATCAACCATTCTGTACAGAAGTACGAGCTCGATCTACCTTCAATTTAATAATACAAATTCTGCACTTTTTCATGCAAGGAATCAATACAAATATATGAATGTTTATTTGAAATTTGCTATTCATGTTAACTAGAAATTAGCAGAAATGCTTCAGTTATAGATTTTCTATGAACAATCAGCTGTGAGCACACCTCACCGTTTCACATAACTGCCTATTGCACATTGTACGGGGTTCTAGGTGAATGGCGCCATAGAACACTATTATTGTGTCACGTGATAGAAAAGTCACCATACAAAACTGGTAGATGGTGTATTCCAAAAAAGAATTTATTTATAATTTGTCTTCCTCGATCCCATATTATCTTTAGGGTTTCTAGTAGCTATACTTTTCAGTAATTATAGCAGTTATTTCTTATAAGCATATTATTTTCACCAACAAAAATAAAAGTTTCTAGAAAGGAGTATGTGCAGATGTCGTCTAACCATAATCATCACTGTTAGTATGTACAATGATCAACTGATTTTCAATTTCATTTCAATTTCAATTTATTGTCCAATATTGGAAATTTGTTTTGCTTACATTTACAAATAGGACTACATTTCTCTTGTTCGGCGAGACAAAATTGTGAAGGCGTGGGGGAATTACTTGCAATGCGATCGATATCGTCTGAATCATTAAATGACATCGATCAGTATGGAATTCAAAGGAGTGATAAAGGAATTTAGCATTTAACAAGCTACATAAATAGGACTACACTTTGAATTTCCTCCGACATTTTTTCAACTGTGTTAACCACATGCTTTCAAGTAGTATATAATTAACACATGCATTTTCTAAAATTCTCATTTTGAAATGCACTTACTACTTCAATAAAGATAAGGTAGATATCTTATCTAATCATTTATCATCGAATAGGTTCAATAACATGATGCTCTTTATCATACGTGGCAAAAATTGATAAACCATAAAAATAGAGCGAAGTCTATGGTTCAACAAGCATTTGATAAAGAGGGTGTGAAACTAGTCTTTTACATTATCTCCATTTATTAACTTATACTTTTCAATTTGTTTAACTGTTGGTAGGGCGAAAGTGAAGTAAGATGTAAATGACAGTCTATGATAATTTATCTGCAGATGATGTCAAATGGTTTACTGTACAATTAAAAATAAACGACAAAGATACTGCATTATTTTGCTAGTACAGAGCTATAAGGTCAGGGTTAATTCGGGGATGGGTTGGTCCTCATAAAAATAAGATTTGATAACACTTAGTCTAAACCGCAGAGGCCCACATGCAGACGGTGCTGTGAATATCGACACACACTTGGAAAGCCTTGCTCCGATTCCGCCCAAAAGCTCGCAAACAATTCAACAAAAAAACTCTGAATAGCATGACGTACTGTGGCGTCATGGTACAGCGCATAATTCTATTTATTACTTAAAGATTCTATTCTTTGTACTTATTTCATACAAATATGGTGCGGTTTTTCTGCTCGAGGGCAATTCTTTTCATGAGTATTTTTTCTCTCTCGCATGCATACACACAATATTTTCTACTGTGAAAGCATACCTTGGGATAGTAGCTAGTCGACCTATAGGAGCTGCAATTGACCTAACCCGATATCAAATGCTACACAATTACTCTACGGGATCCATATCCATTATTTTCGCACGCCTCGTGGTTGGTATTGGAATCTTAAATTTGCCGGGGGCTCCGGCTAACTTAGGGGAACTAATTTCTTCATATGCTGTACCAAGCTAACTTTAGACACGCAATACGATGCATGAAATGCTATTTTTTTTTTTTTAAATATACTTCTGTTCAGGGAATCTAAAATCTGCTTTGAAATTGACTCTTGTACCACTCAACGATGGATTACTAATTTCCATTTTGAACATCTACTTGACTGTCTATATTTACAGATGATTAGCAATTTCTACGTAGGGTCAATGGGGCCGATCTCCCTTCCATTGTGTGTAATCTTGGTAAAATCAATAGATTTGAATTGTGCCACAAGCGCCTCAATCATATTTTGAACTTTGGTCAGCCGTTTTTATCTCTGGTTATAACGCAATATAAGTTTCACGACCTTTGTAGGGATAAATTAAAACGTGTATTCAGAGTATGATTGATTGGTGTGTACTTGCACTCGACAAGTACCCCATTTTTAGGCGGGCTACATAGCAGTATAAAACATTTTTTACACTCGATTGCATGTATTGCGGTGAACCTTGTGGTAGAAAGGGTACGATAGTAAATCAGACTTATTTTCCGAGATGCATTCAAGGACTGGTTATAAATCCAGAAGATTCTAATCGACCACGTGGTTTTACCTGTTACTCATTTGAGGCATAGCAATTTACTGTTTTTCGAGTTGCTTGGACTACGCATTAGCACAATTGTGCAGAATATATCATAGCGGTTAGGCCTGTACATTCTCCACGAGAAAGGTTTGAAGAAACATTGGTCTACCACATCCTGCGCGGCACTATGGCAGGGGCTACACATCGCAGGCAGCATCATCTACGCAGAGACACACCTATACTTCATCCTCAAGGCCGTAGCATGTGCCATCGCCACCAAGTGTACTTCAGTGGACATATGTCGTTTTTAAATCTGAGCACACTTGGTAGCGGTGCCGTGAGCTACTCCCATACATCGGACCATGCACCGGCATCCCACTAAACCGAGGAACTGGGCATCCATCTTATACTGCTTGGCGTGTTCGATAGGAGCTATTTAGAGCGTTAAGATGGATCTTACGAATACTTGTACGCAAGTGCATTACTTCTATATTTAATGCAGCTTCGATATTGACCTTATTTATACTTATTTATACTTATTTTTCAATTTGAGTAGAGAAAATGAATTGCAAAGAATATCGTTAGTGGTCTCCTAAGGGTCTCCTAATCATAACGATTACTGTTATTATTATTATTATAAGTATTATTATCATTATTTTCAGAATTGGTATATATATAATTGTTAACATTATTATTATTATCATTATGACTCCTACAATTATGACTTATTATTATCATAATGATCACTAATCACTATCATTTTTATCATTATCAGTAGTCCTAGTAGTAGAAGTATAATAGCAACAGCAGTAGTAGTAGTAGTAGTAGTAGTAGTATGATTATTTTTATAATAATTACTCTTATCTGACAATATCTTCTGTCAAATGTGTAACTTAACTACCAATATCGGAGGAGTCTGCGCTTTTGACGGTCCATGGCGCCATAATTATGCACTGTGAATCATTGTCATCATATAAAGTTTGAACTTGACGTCAGCTGTGCATATTGGTCTACTTTCTTTGGCAATCCCATGACGGAATTTGGAATGCATGGCAAATGCATTTGAGAACAATATGTAAGAGATGATAAAACAGGATGAATTTTAAAATGTAAAAACTCTGAATATTAGGTTAGCTTTCATCGTTATCAATTTTAACTCCCTTTTAATGTGTTCCAACAAGTCATAAGCCGTCACTCCATTAAAATATATCAAATTAAATGCTTTAAACTTACATTCTAAAAAAAAGTTGTTGAAATTCACACTTGCTAGATATGATTTGAAAGTACAAACTAAAACCACAAAAAGAAAAACAGTGTCTATAATTTTGATTACTAAGAACTAGGGATATATATATATATATTTTTATAAGTGACATGATTCATACAAATATTACTTTAATATTTAAAAATACCAAAGTATCATTATTTTCTCGATTCACATAATTATGTCAATATAATATTCATAGTCCAGTATAGAAGGCCCGTATAAGTTAACAATGAACTATGACGCAGCAGTAATATAGAAATGATACCATCAAATACTGATTGATAATCCACATATTAAAGTTCATAATTATGTCTTAAAATATCTTTTTATCTTAGAAGATAACAAGAAAACAGAACCTTCGACCCTTGCGTGCCAACGGTACGTAGATTTTCTTGCTTTAAGGTTTTCATCACCGCTCTTAAAATACTATGACTCATTCGGTTTAGGAGATTAAATTATGCATGTAACATTTTCCTGTGGCGACAATGGCTCTGAGCAGTATTTCGTTAAAGATGTAGGGTTTGGGTAAGGGTTGATGAAGGGTTTAAGGAATGATTTAGGTTTAAGATTTGGGTATACTTGTAATAATGATTTCAGGAGGTTGAAGTTACGATTTGTTTGTGGAGGAAACTGATCGCCGAGCCGGAGGCCTGAAACCTCCTCAGCAACCTTTTCCATACATGGGCGTAATAGAAAAGCGTTTAATGCAGGTGAAAACAGGGACACCAGTAGAAAGAGGGGGCTCTAGTTTTAAAATTCTTTTTCATATGGAATCAAACCTACCGCCCCTAAACAAAATCAAGAAGGCGCTAATGTAACACAAGCGGATAGATAAAGACAACCAATTATTCTCCGAACAGTTTTTTCCTTCGAGCTAATATTTATCGGGATGACTAAATTTAAAAGAATTCAAAGCAATTTCTTCCCCACTTTATCCCATATAATAATTCAATTCATCTTCAGTCTACATTTAATGGACCACGATTATAGGCATGATATAGGTGTGTATAATATGACCCTTAACACAGTTGAGCTCTCATTCAACATGAATATCAAGGTTTTCAATTCGAGTCGGATCTCAAATCATCAAAAAAAATATATGATGTAATACCTATCTGAATTTTATCGATTGAATTATCTGTACATGTTTTAAATGGGTAAACATTTAAAAGTTCCAAGTAATTAAGTGAATCTGCAGAAAATTATGAACATTTTTGTTCATTTTCTCTCAATTTTGTGGACGAGGATGATGTTTCTGCATAATACTATGACTAGATAACAGCTCAAATGACATGCTTTTAACCTGACTTAAAGCCCTTTGCAAACCTTCAAAAATGTGACTCAACATGTCTGTAGCAGCGAGATGAGTCTATGACAGTATGGGTGAAAATTGAAGCCCTCATTTTGTACACAACTAATCAGTCAAATAAAACACTGCCAGTTGTAAAAATGTTGAACAAAAATTATGACCGTAATTTTGCCAATAGTGAGTAATAGTTGTCACCATAATTTCAGTAAAGTTTTCAATTATGATTATTTTTTTGACATGTTGGCCCTTTAACAATTTTTGAGATTTTCCCCGTGCAAAATTCCTGCAACACCCTTTTAATTTAAACATTGCGGTAATAGCGTTAACAAAAAATACCTCAACAATTCTCATTTTGAGATAACAATTCGACAATAATTGGCCAGACGAGAAGTGAAAGAAAGACGGAAATGATTATAGGATGACAAGCCAAGGTTTGAAACGTATGTGTGCATGAGTGTGTAAACGTGCGTGTGCGTATGTGTGAGAAAGAGTACGGAATGACACAGAATTCATGACAGAGGTACATAATACATATGAGAGCAGAACCAGTTAATGGGTTTTGTGTATGGTTGTGCAGTAGAGACCTGGGTAGAAATTGAGGGAGATAGGGGTGAGTGTTAGGTATATGTGGGGTGGGGGAGGGGGGGCAAAGATAACAAAAGAGAGAATTAGGTGTGAAACCTTCCATACAAGTATGGTCTTTAAGTATGGTCTTTCCTGAAATCTACCTGGGACAGGAACAGACCAGACAGACAGAAACCTTACAAGGGTGTCCCGCAAGCACCCCAGCACTAACCCCATAGCTCGTCCAACACCCATCCGACTTCCAGCCCGGGGCACAGACTCAACGCGCACATAATGCCCTTCCATAAAAGGGAGAGATTGAAAGAGCCTATTCTCCCTGGGACCTCCGATGGATATTATTACCGAAATAAAATTCTAAGCAGCTTACAGGAGTTCAAATACAAACAATTTCTGCCTGCTAGTATCTATGGAAAAAGGTTTGGAATCTCGACCTGACCCCCCCCCCCCCCCCCCCTTTCTTCCAATGCACCAGAGTGCATTTTGTCGTTTGTCATTCGTTGGAAAGGGGAAGGTTCCCGTTCAAGAAGAGACACTTTGGACCGTTCGTTTTCGAACTAAATTCTGCATAACTTGGTTGGCATCATTGAAAAAATAGATCGAAAAAATAGATCAGAAGAACACATCAGGTAATACGTACACAGGCATACTTTCTCAAACAGATCATACTGGAACCATTACAATGACTCGATATTATGTCAGTAATTAATACGTGACAGGGAAATGCTCAAGATGAAGTGTGGTTTTTAAGGAACAAGATGTGTATTTCAATTGCAGTTTCTTTATATCTACATTCATCTTACGCATTGGACGTTGTCCTTTTCAAACTAAATTAGGCATAAATTAGGGCTTTGTAAACCCCAATATTCATTAAAAAGGGTCGTTCGAGCAGACCTCTAAACACAGCAAACACAGTCATTCCCACATTATCAAACAAATCGTCGACTAAGGGACCATTAAAAGGACAAAGACCATGTTCAGCTACTAAATAGAGACGTGGGAATGCTCAAAATTTAGTGTACTTCTTTTTATGGACTATATAGCTGCATTGGCATTGCAGTTACTTCACACATATACTTGCGATGAATATATGTATCAAACTTCGTAAATAAGACCAAGAGAAACTTCGTATTTTATACCCCACTAACACCGCCAAACCGACTCCACACCGACGTCAGACCGATGGATTTTTTTTTAGCCGTTAGCGGTAATGTAAGTTTCTGTTCGATTTGTAGTCGGTCTGGTGTCGGTCGCGTTGGTGTGAGTGAGGTATTAGGGACTTTTAGATTCGCACGAAGACAATGGGGATTGCTACGATCGACGTCCTTTTAATGTACTGCCTTGAATGGACGTCACACGTATCAGTCCACGCAAATCTAAAAGTCCCTATCGCACGACCATGACTTGCAGAAATCGCAGTTTCTCCCGACAAATCAATTTCGCTAAACTGAGGGAACATTCATAATTTTGCCCAAATTTACAATCTTGTTTGATATCACAAAACTATGACGTTTGCGATTAGTTGACCTAAATGCACAAGAATGGTTTCTAAATACTTTTAAATTGACTGGATATCAATTTTATTTTCAACTTAGTGAAACTACCTGAAAAGAATATTGATAATTATATGCACGCACAAATTAAAGTGCATTTGTTGCAAAGCAGGTCACATTAAAAAGAATGGAGAATAAAAGCATTTATGTGTCTTTCTTGGTTTTGGATAATTAATTTAATCACTGGCTCACGCTTTCAATACTGTGAGAAAAAAAGTGTGAGAGAAGGTTACAATCCGAGCATGAATTTCAGCGCAAGTACGAAAACAAATTTACGGTGCCAGAAAATTAGTTTTCAACGAAATTGTACGAAGGAAAAAAAGTAACGATCTATTGTCTAAATATAGACCGCTCCATGCTCGATAGATGATTTATGAACTTTGACTTATACTTATAATATGATGAGTCATTTTGTCTAGAATACAATAGTCATTCCTGTTAAAATGCATATACATTATGACAATGCTATAATATACTGTATGCTTATTGTAGTGTCGTGGTCGAGTGGATATGTCACCGGACCGGAGATCACAAGGTCCGCGGTTCAAGTCCAGCTGCGGCACTAATGTCCTTTGGCATGACATTAATTTACATGTGCCACACTCGACTCAGGTAATTGGGCACCTGGCAGTAATTA